GGTCTTCCAACTACCCTTAGCCCTCTTAAAGAGCTTCCTGCGTCTCCGGATCCAACTGCAGGACTTTACATTCAATCTCGAAGTGGCGAGACTGTTCAAGTTAAAATTCCCAAAGACTGTATCGCTTTCCAGACGGGAGAGGCCCTCGAAAGAATTACTAAAGGTAAATTCAAGGCAGTTCCTCACTACGTGAGAGGTGTGCGACCAGGAATTGCAGATGGTGAAAACGAAGGAGGAAGAATTGCAAGAAATACTATTGCCGTCTTTACTCAACCAAATTTGGACGAGATAGTAGACTCAGAGATGGGCATTACTTTTGGGGAGTTCGCGAGAGGAGTGGTTGAGAAAAATACAACGAAGTGAGGTTATTTGAACAGATTATTCACAAGTTCATACGGAATACCCAATACAGTTTTGTTTTCATCTAAAAATATTATCATTATGCTCAATGTTTTAGCGAGGGGGTATTGGGGGAAATATCGAAGTGGCGAAGCGCATAACTTTCCAGTATCTCAGCCCAAAGGGCCCCCCATTTGCCCCCCATTTAATTGTATCGGATTGAAATTCTTCCACCCGAGTGAAAACAACAACTATATCCAAGGATGGGCAGCGGGTACATGAGCATCGGGAAGACATTCCAAGACTGGGATCTTTATCACTCTGGTGGCAATAACCCCTAAACTATTACTCGTATCTCAAGGTGCGTCCCGGAAGCTGATTGGGTTTAATGTATTCCTTTGACTTGTCGAACAATCTAGAACTAAATTTTTCTGGTGCCTAGTTCCTGGAGTCGTCGTTTCTGCTAAAGTTCGTCCGGTGCTTAATGGTAGTGACCTGTCGCACCATCAAGAGGCCCCACCACATCCACCATTAGCAGTATTTTTTCTTACATTTCAAGGCCTTAAATTGACCCCATTTCTTTCTTTAACAGGAGCTCGATCTTTCAAAATAGAAATCGATAAAAAGGAAGGGTTGCCGGAAAGGTTACATCGTGTCCATCAACCTTGTTACCTGCCGGTTGTCTTTGTGTGAAGCCCCTTTCAAGTTTCAACCGACCAAAATAGTGCACAGCCACCATGCAAGCCACCTTATATTTTAGTGACAATGCAAACCCCAAAATTTGAGCTTCGACGGCAACATCATTCCTTAGGTAGCTTTGACCCTCGGCTTCCAAAAGTTTTGTCAAGAACGTGCCTCGAGCGTGCGTATTTTGTGCATTAGATAGACTTTTTCCTTTTGACTTTCTCATCACCCGTGAGGGTGTCACTTTCATACCTACTTAACCTCTTTTGGATCACTAGTGTAGTCAGTGTTCATAGAGATTGAGACTTTTTGTTTTTCTAATTGTTATTTCTTGAAATTAGAAATCGAGTTGGATTAGACAAAAATGTGAACATCGAGGAAAATGAAAAGTGGAATGTCGTCCTGTACGTGGTGAGACGGTTCCAGAGCAAGGCGAAGGTCTCTATTGTTATGCATGCACTTATGCGGCATGTGCAGCCAACGGTAAAGTCACCGCTAGCAATTATGTAAGATCATATACCTTTGAGTTGGCATGGCAGTGATGATCAGACTGTTTGATTTGCTTTGTACCGAGGAGTAAGTGCTGCAGTACAGTTGTCACTGGTCAGTCTCTCTACCGGTATTTCGTAATGAATCATGATATCACTTAAAAAGTCCTTTGGTGTCGTGCTCCCCCTGACTCTTTTCTCGAAACTTCAGCTGCAGGGCCCTTGGCAATGAGTCCCCACCAACTTTGACCAACAACAAATGACTATCCTTGTCAGCAATGAATGTTCTGGTGTACATTATTACTGGTCCGTTGCTCCGATCCCCTGACCATTTACCACTCGCTCGGCCCCATACACTCTACGCGAAATGCAGATCCCCCAGCTCCACAACATAATCTTCCTTGTTCGGAGACTTTGAATCGGGGTCAGGCTCACATATACTGTACAACTTTCAAAAACCTCATGCAAGATGATGGATCTTGGCCACCACAAACCACATAGTACACCGGGGTAACCTATTTATCCAGCATCATTGTTTCGAATGGCCGAGCTATTATCCTCGCCAACATGACAAACGGCTCAGGGACTCGGAGTCTATATGATCGACCATATGGTCACGACTCTCTCATTTGCCTTGATTCAATGAAAAAGGGTAGGATTTTCACTTCTTGTTTTCTTTTTGAACTGCAAGCTTGTCATGAGCTTCGGTAGCTTTTAAACACTACCCCCAATACAGCAATTAAGTGTTAATCTGCGGGGAGAGTGGACAGGAGCGGCAGTCGAAAAGTTCATCTGATTCATCTCAATATCATTTCTTGTTCTTCACATACTATTGAAGAGTCTATTGAAGAGTCATTTCCTTGCCTCATTCCCTGACTTATATATCTTCGTCTTTCCTTCGCGGTTTCAGGAATATCCACTTCACGTTCCTTTGATGAATATCAAATAAACATTCTGCTTTATACATATACATAATGTACTTTACAAATACTGTTGGTACCCTACTCGCGGCTACCTTGGTAGCTTCGAAACCAATGTAAGTCTTCATACTTCAGCTTCTATCATCTCTCACTCATATTGTTGCAGTTACCAAAGAGGAGTTGACTTTGCATATGGGTCAACACCCGTTAGAGGAGTTAACATAGGTGGCTGGCTTGTTCTTGAACCATGGATTACACGTGAGTAACTGCTTGTTGAAGTTGATTTGTGGTAAATGATATTGATATTTTAAACAGCGTCGATCTTTCAAGCAGTCGATCAATCCTTGGGAATAGTCGATGAGTAAGTTTGTCTCTTTCTTCTGTTTATTGCTTTGATATTCAAGTGTCACTTTATTTCATGACTTGACAGAGACACCTTCTGACAAGTAACTCAGGTACACATTAACACAGCAACTCGGTACAGAAGCAGCTCTGGCGATCCTCAAACCTCATGTAAGTTTCACTGCTCACAACTCCAGATCACACCTCTTACATTAATCTAGTGGGATTCATGGTGCACTGCCGACGATTTCCAAAACATAGCCAACGCTGGCTTCAACACCGTCCGCATCCCAATAGGATATTGGGCATACGAACTCTCTGACAATGAGCCTTATACTCAAGGTGCAGCCCCATACATGGATGCTGCCATCGACTGGGCCCGTGGTGCCGGTCTTAAAGTTTGGATCGACCTGCACGGAGCTCCTCTTTCCCAAAATGGATTCGATAACTCTGGACACAAGACTTCGTCGCCGGCGTTCGGACAGGGTGATTCGGTTGCAAAGACACTTTCTGTTCTAAACACTATTACCGAAAAATATGCTCAGAAAGAGTACCAAGATGTGGTCGTGGGCATCGAATTACTTAACGAACCAGCAAATTGGAAGGTCAATTTCGATGTATTGGAACAATTCTATAGAGATGGATATGGACAAGTCCGCGCTGTTTCCGATAGTATTGTGGTAATCCACGATGCGTTCTTGGCACCAAGCAACTGGAACAACATCCTGTCTTCAAATGACAACAGTGCTTATGGAGGTATGTCTAATTCTCCCTTTCAGTCCCACACTCCCATGTACAGAAGACTAACACCCCCAGTCGTCGTCGACCACCACGAATACCAAGTCTTCAGCGACTCCCTCGTCGCCATGTCCGCCACCGAACACATCGACTACGTCTGCAGCAACGCGGGCGCCTACACCGGCGCCGACAAATGGGTCGTCGTCGGCGAATTCACCGCCGCCATGACCGATTGCGCCTTTGCGCTCAACGGCTACGGCGTCGGCGCCCGCTACGATGGCACTTACCCCGGTTCCTCATACGTCGGTTCCTGCGAGGGCAAATCGGATATCACCACGTGGAGCGACGCGTTCAAAACGGATATGAAGAATTATCTGAGCGCGCAGCTGGCGAGCTATGAGACGAAGGCGAATGGGTGGATTTTCTGGAATTTTAAAACAGAGGGCGCCCATGAGTGGGATGCGGCGAAGTTGGTGGAGTATGGAATTTTTCCCGATTTGAGGGCGGGGACTCCGGCGGCGATTTGTTCGTAGGAATTGGGAGGGATGGGTTTGTGGAGGGGAGAGGGGGGGTGGAGGAGGTAGGAGTGGAAATTGTAATTTAAGTACATATACCCAGAGACTTGGCGATCAACAAAAGTCTGTACAGTTATGATATACAAAGGGAGATAGTTTTTTTTTTCATTTAATTCATTCATTTATTCATTTATTCATTGATTATTTTAACCAAGTACGAATCCATGCGAAATATCGAATGGGGTTACTTAGCAATTACGTAGCAGTGCAGCGAAACAAAACATCGTTAAAAGAAGAGAAGCTTCGTGTACATATCCTCCATCCATATCCTATCAAAGAACCTCTTCTCAGCTATTCATCCATGTACGCCATGTCATGTCTGATATCCATTTCTCCTGATTCTCCTAGAGTCTAGTTCTCAGATCGCTTGTTTGTGTTTTTGAGAAATCGAAGTGCCTGCGAAGAAAATACATAGGTGTAGAAAATAAGAAAGAGAGGTGGAATTCGTGGTAAGTCGTGAGTCGTGAGTCGTGATGAATATCTGGTTTGTTGAATGCCCTCCAGATTGAAGTCGTGATAATATCGCAAGATGGGTATGTAAAGGTAAAGTCGTCATTCGTGAGAAAATAAAAGTACAGAAAATTAAAAAGTAGCGAGTGATTTTTCGTGGGGGAGGAAAGCGAAGAAGCGAGGAAGTGGAGGGTTGGAAAGGGGGTAGAAAAGAAGAGGGAGGGAGAAGTAGATTGCATTGAAGTATCTTTGCTTTGATGTTGGAGATCGGTATCCGGATTGTGTTGAGCATCGAAAGGGTATGAAAGGGAGTGGAAGCGAAATGTCGAGAAGGTACGCGGGAGGAATGAAGAGAATGAGAGAGAAAAATGAGTACTTTTTCCTCAATGATTGAGTATTGAAAGATTCCCACCATCCAATTCCTTCCCAACCTCGAAAACAATAAAAAATCTTATCATCCCTCCTCAACGTCCCCCATCTCCAAACACCCCCCTCCCATTCACATGCGACGGAACGGGCCAAAACTTTCCATAATCATGATACCCACCATCATCACTCCTCAACAAAAACGCATCATTCCGATTATGATTAACCCCATTACTATAGATCAAATTATTCAACCAACCCTTCGCATCTCGCAGACGATATCTGCATTTTTCGCAGAGCGTCAAGGGACAGCCATCGCAGAGGAAAACAGAAGGCGCGGGACAAATCATGCAGGATTTGGAGATGGGACGGTGCGGATGTCGATTCATGTGGGTGTGATGATCGTGGATTTCGTTGAGGGGGGCGGGAGCGGGAACGGAAGATGTAGTCGCGGGAGTGGGAAGCAGAACGGCAGAGTTGGAGGTCGAGGTGCTGTGGCTTAGCCAGCCGGATTTGCCCCACGAGAAATCGTCGTTGCCGAACATGGAGTCCATGGAGCTGTTGAGGATGGAGTTCATGTCGCAGTAGAGATCGGAGTCGAGGTCGATATCTATGCTGCTGCTCTGGTGGGCATGGGTGTGTGGGTTGACGAGAGAATTTCGGCGAGAGTTTGTGCTGTCTGTGTGCGCACTGGTGGACTGTGTACCAGTATTCATACCGGTACTGCCTGACTGCATACCACTCGAATTCATACCACTCAAATTCATACCACTCGAATTCATACCACCACTGCCTGCTTGCACACCACCCGCATTCAACCCAACATTAACAATCGAATTAATCTCCTCGACCGTCATATTCCCCTCACTCAAATCCCGACCGACATCAAATCTCAACCCCCCCAAACTCTCATCCACAGCCCCCTCTCCACTCTCTTCACCCTCTCCAACCCTCAGTCCCGCACCCGAAGATTGTCGCGCATACCCAACCTGGCACCGACCATCCACATCCCCCGCCACAATATGCGTAAACTCCTCATGACACCCATGATCCACAATCTCCCTCTTCCTGCCCTTACACCCGACACAGATTTTCGTCTTCCCCAGATCGACTTGTCGATACGCGGCGCCGCGACACGTGAGATTGTGCATGAAGGGATTAATCAACAAATTATCAATCGGCGAGAGTATTTCCCGAGGATCGCCAAAGACGTTGGATTCTTCAGAGAGGGGCGCATAGCGATCATAGCTAGCCGTCGCCGTCGCCGCACGAGTCGTCTTGCTCGAAGAAACGGATGCCGAACGAGCGGGCTTTTTGGCCGCGGGACCGCAATCGGCGGCTTCTTGGGCGACTCGCTTGCCTTTCTTACTGTGCTCGTGCTTCTCGGGAAGAGCGCCGCCGAGTAGGTGTTTTCCCGTTTGCTTGCATTCAGCGCACCATTCTCGACCCGCGGGACCCCAGATCTCGACGAAATTGTGATTGTACCGATTGATTCCACCGAAACTTGGGGTTCCGGTGCAGAAATCGCATTCGAAGTTTTCTCCAATGGTTAGCTTGTTTAGAGCTAATGGGCGATCATCTACATCAACAATCTTCTGGGAGCGATGATCTGGAGTAAGATAGTTTGGAAGTCGAGGAGCGGGTTTTCCGTCAAAAGGCATGGGACTATTGAGATTATATCCTTGAAGCGAAGAGTTGATGCCCGCAGCAACTTGAAATAGAAGTGAGCGTTCGAAGGAATCTTCGGTCACAGGTTGAGGGTTGTCCAATCGAACGACACGATTATGGAACAAGGTGTTTAGGAGAGAAAAGGGTGGTGAGACGGGTGGAGTATATCCTGGTATATTTGCTTGATTCCCACGCTCATTTGCTTCGTTCTCCACGGCGGCTTGATTCATCATGGCTTCGAATTGATCTAATTGCATGGGATGATGAGGTTGTTGCGGCAATTGTAGATTATTTTGACCGCGTTGATTCAGCATAAATTGATGTTGTTGAAAAGCAGGATTAAATTGGATAAGCATGTCTCTATTCATGTTCATCAAATTTGTATTCGCATTTGCATTTTCCTGAGAGTTGAACGTTTGAGACGGCTCGAAATAACCCGGTGTATTACCCGATACGGCAGGGTTTGGCGGGATCGGAACACGCGATGTTGGCCATGGAGCACGAGGTGTCGGTTGATGAAAACTGGGCGGGTGTAAAGGATTGCGAGTTGAGAAAAGTGGCGCATCTGGCATACTTGGAGTGTCTAGATGAAAGCTGGCTGGATGTAAAGGGTTTGGAGCGGTGTCATCGAAAGGTATTTCGGGAGCGGCCATTGTTGTCGAGCTGGATCTTGTCGATCTAGCGATTGCATTCACTACTGCGGGCGAGCCTGCATTGGAATGATTGATGACTGACTGGGTAGGTGTAGCGGATCTGCGTAAGTCGAGTGCCGAATGAACAGGACGATTGGGGGAGTTTAGTACTTGTGGGCCCATATGACCGAATCCCGATCCCATTGAGTTATTAGGAGTGTGTCCATGTACAGGAGTAGCACTTCTTTGACGTATAGCCTGCTGAGGAGGAGACTGTTGATATGTGCGTGTATCTGGTGCAAGTCCAGATGGAAGAGGACCACCCATCACTTGATTCGAGGTATTTGGCGCAAAATTCATGTTATATCCACCAGATACACTTGCCAGATTCCCATGATTGCTACCAGTAAGCAAAATTCCATCCATTGGATGGCTAACAACGTTAGGCAAAGGTGCTTGATTTGACGATTCAGCCATTTCCACTCTTGTATTCGCATGAGTTGAAGGCGAGGCTCCGATCATACTTGCTGCTGGATTCTCTTGAATCGAGGAATCATTCATATCCGCCGTCAACCAAGCATTGTGATTCGCAGAACTATATTCTCGAGCGAAATCTCCAATAATATCTGAAGAGGCCGTATTATCATCTTGAACCCCACTGTTATATCCACCATTATTCATCACATCTCCCTGACCACTAGATTGATGCATTGGCGTAGTGTTTGGAAAGTCAGATCGGAGGGAAGAGTCAACAGTAATTTGTTGGCCTGTTGACAGTGATGTTCCTTCGAATACATTTCCATTGTTCGTAATGTTTTGCTGAGTCGTAGAGTGAGTCGAAGGCTGTTGAATCGAAATCTGAAAAGGCGATCTCATTTGAAACTTCGAAGAACGTTCTGGTGTATTGACTTGTACCACCGACGACATCCCACCAGCTTGATTACCAGTATTCATCACAATCTCTTGCGCCGTAGCATGGTTCATAGGATGTATCTGCATCGAAGTCTGAAAAGGCGATCCTAACTGAACCATCTCAGAACAATCCGACGTATTGCCTTTTACTCCCTGCGACACTCCCCCAGCCTGACTTCCATTCCCCAACATAGTTTCTTGCATAGTAGGATGATTTATAGGTTGCATCCTCGGCCCATCTTTCGCCATATCCTCAAAACCCCGTCTCATCACTGCCCCCACAGAAGAAGCCTGCGCAAGCTGACCACTCATATCCATCCCATACATCAAATCTCCCGGTTTGGAATTCTCCAACGTCGCCATCATCTCCGCGAAATTAGCTTCGAAATCTGGAGCGGCATCCAACGCAGGTCCAGAAAAGGGGTTTCGACCGGTCGTCATTGTCGTTGGTTGAATATTCATATTCGCTTGAGTCCCATTTGCTTTCTCTACACTTTCAACCATCTGGGTATAAGCGTTTGAGAGAGCGATTCCACCATGCGTATTGTGTGAGATTCCCTGACTTTCTTGGCTTGTAGTGCGTCGATGTACTTGGGGTGGGATACTTAAGTGGAACGGATTGCGAGGGGGATTGTTGGCTTTGATTGCAGCTTTCCACTGCTGTTTATTGGCATCGGTGTTGGCGGGAAATTCTGAATTGGTTGTGAGTATTGGTTCTTGTGCGGGAGTTACTGGTGTTTTGTCAAGTGATGCTGGGTTTGTCTCTCTATTACCCTCGTTGCGAGGAAGGTTGAGGATCTTGTCGCCGCTGAGATTTTTCGCATTCGAATTTGAGATTAATTGTGGCGCCGAAGCAACAGTAGCCATAGTTGTCGCTGGCAAAGACGAAGTGTCTCCCATCAAGTTATCAGCAAGTGCGTCTCCATCACCAACATATAAACTCGCCATCTTTGCAACTGGTATTTCCCCAGAATGCGCCGTCTCTCTCTTTAAAAGATCACTTTGTGAACTTTCGGTGTTCGCAAATGGTGAATGTGCATGTGAATGTGAATGTGAATTTCCAAAGTGAGCCAAATCAGCTTTATTTCCCAAAGCGCGATAAGGATGATTCACTCCTGCACGCGACTGAGGCGAAGCAATCGTGGATGCAATCGTGGATGCAATCGTAGATGCAATCGTAGAAGCAATCTTAGAGCGCGGAGTGGGCGACCTCGGAGATTGTCGATCTTCGATATGGAAAGACGAAGGAACGGGAGGTGTGCGAATCAACTGACCGGCCGAATATCCCAAGACCAATTGCGAAGGCGAAGTTAAGGAGGCGATGGCGGAACCTTGTGATGGAGAGGTACCGATGTTTGCGGTGGAGAAGGATAGAGGCTTTGCCTTCTTGCGGGGTTTGCGCGGTGCGCTATTTGAAGCCATGGTTTTTGTGGGTGGTGAGATCCGAGACGACGATGAGGATGTAGTTGTGACAACAAGCTGGCTCGAAGAAAGACATATTTATTTACGCGAGTTTGCAGAAACTAATAATTTCTTTTAACTCAATATTAGTGGGAACTCGTTTCGAGAGTCCAATGGAAGACTATCATCTCATTTTGTCTTGAGAACTGTCTAAAGTCTAAACCTGAAAGAAATGTATTTTGGTATTGTCTGATCTTCAGTTGAGATATTTATTCACACTTCCTCCAACTTGGATAAAGGTGCTGTTCGTTCATCATTACACACTTTGCAGACTAGGCTTTGGAGTCTCTACTAGACCGTTATTACTGGAGCAAACAAATCAAACAAGAGATGGACTTTCTCTGGACAACGTTGTCAGTAGAGTAGTGTGAGACACAATAAAACAGATTATCTTGACATACCTGTTCTGCACTTCCAAGAGATCCTTCTTGCACTACTTTCATGAAGGTCTATATGTACACAGACAGACTACAACCAACAGCCCATCTATATCACCATCACTGAACACAAACACAATCAAGTTCAATCAAGTCAACTGCCTGTCTTCAAATCAGCGAGAACATCCACCATGACCAAAACCCAAACCCCACAACAAATATAAACCAAAAACAACATAAATTCTATTCCAATTGATAGCATAGTATAACCTTCCAACTTCTCCCTACCCTAATCTATCCCATCTTACATATCCTATCCCCGGGTATCATATATCAAGCATTATAACCATCTCATTCGCAAATCTCAATCTCACTCTCAATTCCACTCTCAACCAACCTACATATCCCCATATATACTCTCCCTTCCCTTCCCTCACCCCGAAGACCCACCTGCCCCCCTCAAACTCTCCTCAATAGCTTGTTTCAACGCCTCCTCATCCGCCCTACTATTCTCCACCTCCCGTTTCTTCTTCTCCTCCACCGCTTTCTCCGCTTCTTTCCTCTCTTTTTCCTCCCGTTTCTTCCTATGTTCTTCCTCTTGTAAACTCTGTTTCTTGATATATTCCAAGACGATTTCTTCTTCCGTCATACCACCGGCTCCTCCACTCTTCTCAGTTTCTTTCCCTTTGGAAGCGAGAGATTTCTCATGCTCTTCCTTAGATTCCCTCAGTACCCTCTTTAGATCCTCATCATCTTCACTCTCCTCACTTCTCATTTCTATAAACCCCCCTCCACTTCCACTTCCACTCGCCCCTTTATCATCATCACTACCCCCACCCCTCTCCCTCGCCCCATCAATCATATATCCCCTCAAACTCTCCTGAATCGCCCTCGCAAGCTGCTCATCATGTTCTCTATCATCCTCCTCTCTATTGCCCCTACTACCCTGCTCCTGACTAGCCACAACACTAGCTCTAATCGCACGATCCATGACCTCCTGATCGCTCAACCCTGCTCTCTGACCACCTTGTAGTTCCGCAACACTAGCTCTTATAGCCCGCTCAATCATAAGATCTTCTTCTATATTACCACGTGAAGTAGCGGCTACTGACGCTTGAATTGCTTCCTCGAAGTCAGATTGAACATTATTGGTATTTCCGGTTGGTGGGTTCACATTAATAACTGGCGAGTCTCGAATCTCATCAGACGAGTGAGTATGAGCTGTTGTTCTTCGACAAAGTCCCATCGGGCAGTGTGAGCGTAGACCCTGTCCTCCTTGCCTGCTTTCTTCTTCACGCTTGGCTTTTCGCTCCTCGTGAAGTTTCTTTCTTTCGTCAAAAGTGAGGTGTCGCGTCTGTAAGAACCCTTTTGGTGAAAGATGTCCAGTGCCTTGACCATCAGGACCTTCATCTTGAATTTTCTGCTTGGCATTTTGGTATTCCCGTTTATGCTCCGTCCAACGCTGAATAATATCCAGACGTTCTTCTCTGCTGCATTTCTGAGCATCTTCGAAACCTTGAGCTGTTCTGGCTGCGATGATATAGTTGAGTACGCTTGAGCCAAAAAGTTTTCTTACTTCTTTATGGATACCCATGAATGTGTAACCAGGAAGTCCCCATATAGCTTAATGATATTAGCAATGCATGTGATGATTGTTCAAATTCTGACTTACCAGCTCCCGGCTTGAGAACCACTCCTGCAATACCCTTTCCGATACCTTTAATTAGTCCAGCAGCACCTTCCTTCTCCGCACCACGCAAAGGTTGTGTAACAAGACCAGTAATCCCATCAAACATTCCATATCCAAATTCCCTTCCAGCTGCCTTCAATCCGCTTTGAAAATCCGTCACCTTTTCTTGTGGCCTGACTGTATCATCGCCATACAATTTAGGTGCATTATGAAATCCACGCGCCAAACCCAGTGTGAAATCCATGGGTGACTTCAACCCCGCACCAACTATACGCGAGATGCCTTTTCCTGCTCCTACAGCATTTTCAATCGTCAACTTCGAAGGATCAAATTCCTTGGGTGTCTCGGAACCTGAATCATTGCGAAAATGACGGGATTCTATGTTATCCTTCAACACTTGGCGCAACGAATTTGTATGCTTGATACCAGGACTCGCTGTGTGCGATATTGAATCCTGGGTACTTGGCGTTGAAGGAGTATCAATATCATTCGAGGATCGCTGACTACTTTCGAAAGAAGTCTTTACTGACGAATCTGATGCTTGCAGCAGACTAGCGTCGACCGAACTAAGCGATCTTTCGTCTAATAGCAAATGATCCTGAGAACGACCCTGCATAGAAGATTTCGGTGTAGCAGAAGCACTTGATGGTTCTTTAGCAGCAGCATGAGCTTCCTTATCTCGCTTCACCTTCCTGAAGATTTCAATAGGGAAATCCGCTACACCCATACTGAGACTTGCAATAGTTCCTAAAAGTGCAGTTGCCCCTCCAGATATTGGATCCCATGGACCATCATCAGTTTCATATTCTTTGGGACGATATCTAATTCTGTCAGCCACCATCTGAATAATAACCTATGCAAAACAACTTACAATTTCAAATCCGCAAAATTGATAAGATTCTCACTAGCAAGAACATTCGCGGCCAAAGCACTAAGCCTGGTTTGAGTACGCTTGACCCTCCAGACCGCTACTCTATGTGGTGCCAATGAGCATCTCATGTTATCAACATCAAGATGGTCGTGAAAGCTTTTCCCACCCTCTTCGGTACCCTTCTCTTCTTTAATCCTAGCCCCCAACTCTTGCGCCTTTGCCAAAGTTTCAGGCTTCAGAGCATCAGTAATAGCTGCAGCAAGTTTATCGGCAGTAAGTTGCTTGTACGGAATGGGTAGTGGACCCGCTCCAGCTCTGGCGGTCATTGCACCCCAGAATGGCTGATCGCCGAAAAATGGCACGACAACAGTAGGTTTACCTGTAGCAATACCGGCAGCAGTGGTTCCAGCACCCCCGTGATGAACAACGCAAGACACATGTTGAAAAAGCCAATCGTGAGGAACATTACCCAACATGAAAACTCCCTCAGGTACGTCAAGCGCATCACCACCGAGGCCTCCCCATCCTTTGGATACTAAAGCCCGAACACCAGTTTTCTTGACAGCTTCAAAAATGAGGGTTGTCATCGCATTAGGATCATCAACGACAATCGAACCGAATCCAATGTAAACAGGTGGCGGGCCATCAGCAAGAAAAGCCGCCAGATCTGGCTCAGGAGTATAGGAGGACGCCAGAGAGAGGAAATAGAATCCAGATATCGAGATGTGCTTTCCCCAATCTTTTGGCTTCGGAATAAGTGCCGGTGACCAGCAATATGTGTATGGAACACGGAGACGACTCAACATTCCAGGTGCCCAAATCAGACTGATAGGATCAAGTCCAAGAGCCCTTTCTCTAAATCGATTGATAACATCTCCAAGTCCTTGCCATGTCATCATTTCAACAAGTGCATAAGATATAAAGTTAGTCATGTTCACGTCTGCGTTAGAAGATTGAATATTCGCTAAAGGATGAGGAAAGGACTGAGTAGGTGACCAGGGCATTCTGTGTACAAGTAAGCAAAAGTCTATTAGCATAGTATAGGAGAGATACGCACGTGAACATCATATGCAGTGGTATACCTAGTTTCTCCGCAATATGTATATGTGCAAAACTTGGAGGATTAGCAATAATCGCATCCGCAACGAATGGTCTATCCGACGGATTAGTATCCATATTGATACCGGATTCGAGACCCAACGATAATTGCGATCCGGATTTATTAGGAGCTGGGCCTAGTCCATCTCCAGCTTCGATACACGATCTCCAACAACCCAGGACAATCTCTTCCATGCCCTTTCTTCGTTTGCCCACATCGCCGCTTTTCAGGGACTCTATACCTGGCATGAGACCTGGGTTCTTTACCATGAATGCCATCAGCTCAGAAGGATCACCACCAATGCTGAAAAACTCCAATCCATTTTCCTCCACGAAACCTTTGAATGTTGGATGTGTTGCTAGACGAACACGATGTCCGTAAGTAGATTTAAGCGTTTTACCTAGCGCAACGAATGGTTGTACATCTCCTCGAGAGCCAACAACATGTATGACAACATTGAGTTGAGGTGGAGGTGTCTGACCTGGTAATCCTCCTAGCGCAGGTGGTATGTATCCTGGAGGGAGGGGATGCGCATCTTCTTGTGCGTTAAGTAAAAGCTGATTTCGAAGGGCGGGTATAAGAAGATCGGATAATTTGCGAGTTTTCTGGTTGATATTTATATTGATTCGACCATCATCAGAGACCTTCGCCTGGGTATCAAATCCGTCTTGACTGAGTTCTATTTCATTATGCTTGTTTCCATATGCAGGTGGAGGTTCTGTTGTCTCGTAATGAGACCCTGTATCTGGGATGCCTAAATACGAAGGACGATGTGCACTGTTAAACAAGCAATTAGTAGACGTTCAGATCCGAAGGATGAATGTATACGAACGACGATGAAGGAGGCGCATTCGTGGAGGTCCCCGCGACACTTTCCTGATGCCTAGAATCTCTTCTCTCATGTTGTGATTGATCATTGTCCTCAATATTTCCATAAATTGCAGCTTCAGCTTGTGCGATCAGAGCAGAAGGTACAGCACTGTCTGCAGGCTGATTCGAATCAGTGGTCATATCGATAAGCTTCCTACGCTGATAACAGCGTGGAGTATGAGATGCGGAGTGATACAGCTATTATAAAGATGTCAAATGTGTGCAAAGATCAGGTATTGGGTATCATGAGTATAGTTCTAAAATACTTTCTTGTTGTATGCATGTGGAAGCTTAATTCTCAGTCTAGATGAGGCTGTGACATATACCCCGCGGAGTAGCGATGACGATGGAGGAGGCAAGGTTATAAAAGCAAGGAACCCCACAATATATCTATCCCATCTATCCCATATCCCAATGAGTTGGTCACATATAATACAACACGGACAAAAGAAAGGAATACTTCTTCATTGTATAGTCTACCTTCAGTAGTTGTAGTCTGTACTGGATCACAAGATAGGATCAAGCATTCGATACATGATATTCCAGAGCATCTATGGACGCTCAAGCCTTTCAGAGGCCTTCCCCACCTAGGTAGGTACTTCTGGATTATATACAGAGTACCGACTTTATACGTACTTGGAAACTGTTAAGCCCACCAATAAACCCAACCATCATTTCATTTAGTAGACCGTTTGCAATCATATCATCAGCACTTGCACTGGAAAGCAAATGGATCCTGGTGTTCTGTTGCTAATTTTTGAACATCGCGCGCAGTGGCCGGGGAGCTACGAGGTGTGGCTTTCGAGCTTTCGTGGCAGTGTTCAAACCCTTCCAAGCTGGAGGCACCAATTACTGCCAAAGCACAGAACATTCTACGTACAGTGACGAGTTTTGAATCACTCAGAATGATTGTCAATTGTCCGCGTTAAATCTCCTCCATTATACCATGACTACACAATATCCACAATCCATAGAATCACAAGCTGATCATAGAGCCCGAAAGTAAATGCTCATCAATTCTTTTGATCCCCTGAAAGATTGCTTATAATACAAGAGCACCATATATGCTCCACTCCACATCACCCAGCGTAAGAATTCCCAAGCACCATTTTGACGCTTCTCCAGCCAGAGTCCCTCGACCGCGCCCTCATATCCTCTGCTCCAACATTGTAAAGACCGAATTTAAGAAGAGAATTTGCGTGTAACCTTTGCGATGACTGAATATAATGTTAGCATGAGATCGTCAACGAGAAAGGAATAGAAATAGCTTACTGTGAAGGGCAACAACACTGAAGATGAAAACGAGGGAAAGAACCAAAACGACAACAGGGTCGACCTTCAATCCTGGAGATTCATCGGTGTAAAGTCCTATTTGGTATGTCAGTATGACTGGTTCCAGACATAGATGATCGTTATCGTCAACGATTGATAATTTCAAATCGCAGAATTCCTCAAAACCGTGGCATGGATCAGATAGCTCGCACAAGAGTGCTGGGAGAATGCGAATCGGGCCCCAGGAATTGTGCGGTGCTCAGCATCCCTCACATTGAGGTCAATTGGAATCAGAAGAACGAGAACATGCACTCGAGTAAACTCAAGCATGCGCAATGCATGAACTACAAATTATGCTCCCCCCCCCTCGAAGCATAATAACTCCAAAGAACGAATTTCTTCGATCCTCTTTATTCACCAATCCACCTGCGACTCATCCCACGAATTCTTATTTCCTCTCTAAATCCTCATCCACCAATTCCCATACATCACCCTCTCCCACTCCTCCACTTTCCAAGCTACTCTAAACAATCAATTAAAAAAAAGCACACTCACTCAACATAGTACTCGAACTTCCCCCGGCACCTGCCGCTCTGGTACTGCTCGGCCTCGCATTTGCAACCTTGTCCTTTTGATCTGCCGCCGCACGTCTTCTGATTGCTGTCTTTGGGCCTCCAGGAGGAGTTGGGCTAGAAGGTCTACCCGATACCGCCGCTACCGGGCTGTTGACTGGGGATGCCGATCTTGGGGATGACTATTTTGGAATCATTTAGTGACTGTGGTAAGAAATCTGGTGTCGCGAAAGGAGGAGTGCCATAGGGCTTGGGAGAGGAAGCAATACTGTGCGGTGGTATAGTCGAAGCGGAAGAATTGACAAGGAAACTAGTACATACCATTGTGAAGAAAGAAGTGTGATGATTGATGTGAAAAGGATTCAAAAGAAAGTTGTGAAAGCTCGAAGGTCGAATTAAATTTATATGGTCAAAGTCAAAAGTCGCAATGATAAGGTAGAGCTGGTCTTTGATGAGCTGGTTCAAAATGTCAAAGGACAGATTCTAAAAGGAGCCGAATGCTTGGTGCACCAAAAAGACGCTAATGAACCCCAGACCACCAGGTATTTAGCCTCATGCCACTGATAGGACAGACGATTTATCATACATTTTAATAACTTTCATTTCATTTCTTTTCATCTCATCTCATCTCATTTCACCTAGTAGTTTTTCTCTCCGTCGATTGACTTGAACAAAAATGTCATCACTTTTTGACGTCAAAAATATGGAAATCAATAAGAAATAGCCACCCAAAAATGCATCTCAGTATTATTATTAAGTTTTTATTTACCCAGTAATTATTTACAAGAAAGGTGTAATTGGAGTGTAAGTAAAGTAGAAGGTCGTATGGAATCGTTTCATTTTTGGTATTTGATGAATGCTATCTCCAAAGCATTCACAAAACGGTGGATAGAGTGTTTGATACATGAAGAGTCTGCGCCATGCGCAAAGCCCTGAGAAGTTTTAATAAAGTAGAAAAAAAAAAGAGTTGGACAAATGAAAATGTCGGATATGCGTCTGCCCAAAGTGCCTCAGATCTTGCTGGGCAGGAAAAGAATGTGACAGGCCGATCTGTTGTTGTACGGTGTGCATCGTACGATGCTCGCTTTTTTGCTGTTCGCTCTTCCATTGAGATGATGTTATTTTTCTCATATCCCAATCGCGGAGATTTCGACCCATCAATGTGATTTGATCTCTCGCTTTCTAGCAATTTTCCTCCATCACTCCCACTCGCATACCTTCCTGCACCAAGGCTGACCCAGCACGCTGGCCCATTATATAGATTAAACAGTACATTCTACAACGAAACCAAAGGTATCAACCGAAACGCCTTCCGCTATGATATCAAGCGAATTGCAAGAAGATTTTGCTCCCTTCTTAGAGCGCAACATCAAGAACTAAACTGACATCTCGGACCTGCGAGCCGGCCAAGTCCTCGAGAACTGGGATTAGGTCCAAAAGCTCATTGTCGTGAGCATCTGAGAACCAACTGCTGATAGGAACAGCATGTTGCGGGTGGAAGATGTAAGAGGTGGGAGAATTGTCAATGATAATGGTTTCTCTCAAATCGCGACCGACTTGAGAAAGATCCTTTACATAATTTCCTTGGTGATTGTAACAACTTTCACGGAAAAGTCGATGATGAACAACGTGATGAATGTCAAGTTGGTCGAGAAGTGGGTCACCATACTATTGATTTGTTAGTAAATATCTATGAGGGTCAACATTCTAGTCAATAATACCTTGGAAACAGAAGCTGTGAAGACCACAACCTCGTAGAGTTCCCCGACTCGCTTCATAAATTGATCAACACCAGGACGCTTGATGACGTATACATTGTGGAATTGCCCTTCAATCTCTACGGGAATAGTGAAATCTGCTTGGTGTAAGATCTAATGAACATGTTGGTTAGCTTCCGAATACCGTTTCCTACTCCTGTGCTCGTGACCTACCTTAAAACTACTATGAACCAAAGTCTCGTCGAGATCAAGAACCAGACATTTCTTTCCTTTGAATCTTGGTGCAATTGGTGGTAAGAGCCATTGCTGTTTTTGCTCTATAGATTCAGTTTCGGTGACGTCTTCGGTAGTTGGGATTTGAGGGACGGGTGGCGGAGGTGGAAGAGTTTGACCAGCCATTGGTTCATCTTTTGGGAGTGGTAATGGAGCCTCCTCGGTTTCGGTGGTTCCTGGATCCAAGTTTGCGATCTTCTCGTCTCCACCATCTTGCTGTCCCAGATCCGAACTTGGAGATGCAGCTCCGATTGCCGCTTCAGACTGCGCTGGAGCATCAACAGATACTGTTGGGTTTGCGGTCTCAGGTAAGGTAGGCTCTGCTTCTACGACAGTGGGCAAGTCTGGCAAAGGTTGATCGCGAGCGTCGCTGATTGGACGATTCAGCTCTCCATTGGCATCCGAGGAGGAGGGGGTAGCTTTGGCGGTTTCCTGAGAGCTTGTTGCGTCATGCTTCTCCTCTCCGCTCTCGACTTGAGGCGCTTGTTGTGGTTGCAGCAGATTCTCTTTCTCTACTTGTGGTACCGCGGGAACACTGGCTTGTTGTCCCATCTTGCTCGAGTCAGGTTGCTTAGCTGTCGTAGGGCGGCTTAAACTAAATTTGGAGACCTTGTTGGCAGGAACAGGTGCATCCAAAGAATTGGCGTGGTCCGGAGTACCGCAACAGAGAAGAGAGAGAAAGCTCTTCTTCTTTTTTGGCTGACGAACTGAAGGAGCGTCTGGAACTGCTGGTTGCGAGGAACCTGCAGCGCCGGTAGGATTTCCAGGTGATTTTATCGACATTTTGCTGCTTGCCGCACTCCCATTCCGCCTTCGCCCAAGAAAACTACCCTTCGATTCCTTGGATCGCCCACCTATGCTCTCTCTTCCCTCGCTCGCTGTCGCTCCGCTTAAACCCGTGGAAGTTGGCGAATGCTGAATTTTGTTGGAAGACGATCTCGATGGAACTTTAAGTAGGTCCTTGTTCTTCTTGGGAGTTTCAGTCAACGGTTCGCTGGTTCGTCCTTGATCTTTTTCGACGTTGGTAGTCGAATTCAAACCGTTGTCGGAATCTCCTGTCAAAGTATTTTGAGTAGTAGACTGTTGTGTAGATGAGCTGGGTGGTTGGGAAACTGCGGTGACTATCATTAATTGTTAGCAACCTATGACCGCAGCGCATCCGATGTTTGGAAATAAAAAAAATTAAAGTATATAGTGTAGAGAAGGAAGGTACACACAGTTGGAAGTGTCGAGGGTAGGTGGTTTAACTCCTTTCGTTCCTTCCAATGAAGTTGAGCGGCTAGGATCTTGCTCAGTCGGCTGAGCTACCTCATTACTCATCGAGGGCAATTCGATATTGATTAAGAGAAAAACAAGATTATCGGAGGACTAAATCTTTTTATAAAGATCTATCGAATCGAATCCAAGGACTTTTATCTTCAAAACGCGTCGAATGATTTAAGTTGATGTCCCTGATCGTTATTTAATTAGTCTCTTTAGTCTCCTATCTAAGAACCTTTTGGTACTAAAGATGCGTTCCGTTGCGCGATAAATAAAGAAATGCGATGATCTTTAATTATTTATTTGGAAGTGGAGCGAGGAACTTGGGCGCAGTCGATGGATGATTGAGGAAAAGAATTGAATGGGGAGTGAGTGGGAGTGGGAGTGAGTGGGAGTGAGTGGGAGTGAGTGGGAGTGAATTGAATTGAATGGAGTTGAATGGAGTTGAATTGATTCTGTTCAAGATATATTGGAATGAAATGAAACTTACAATCAACAAATCTCGACGCTCCTGAAGGAGAGAAATTGAAAGAATGACTTTTGAATGAAGATTGGACGAGATGAGTGTCGATAATAGGATGGGACATTCAGGACCTTTGAATTAGCGAGATTGGATTGCGCTAACAAGCTTCAGCAGAGCTACAATAATAAGATGACTTCTTCTTTCACTTCTCACTTCACTTCTTTTATACCAGTCAGTGCTTGGTAAATGAAATCAAATGTAATGAAAGTACCTAGGTAGGTAAGGTACTACTAATCAGGATACAAGAGGTAATCCGTTCTGGGTAGGTAGGTAAATGAAGAAGAGATGATGACGAGAGAGGTGGTCGAGTGGGAAAAAAAGTAAGATATCTTTCCAAATCAATCAAACTTTAATGTAGGTAGGTAGGTAGGTAGGTAGGTAGGTATCTTTCTTTTGTGCTCCGTACCTAGCAATCCCACTGGTTTTTATAGGATAATCCTCTTTTCGTTTTCTGAGAGGGACGTTGATCTCATTGGTACCGATCGTGGCAATTCTTTTCGTAATTTGCAGGCTGTGAGATGGGACCTATGTATGGCGTTTGGGACAATGGTGTACCAATATATGTATGTATATGTAGGTAGACCGGTATGAACTAATGGAGTGAACGGTCGATAGGTGGAGAAAGTTGAGGTAATTGAATCGAGAGGATGATGTGAATGTTGTATTCTTTGATCCGAGTGGTACTGAAGTAGTGGTGGTGGATGGTGGTGGATGGTGGTGGATGATGATGATGATTAGGTAGGTACCTATGATATGGATGATATATCTAATAATACAAAGACGTGGCCGTGGCTGTGGTGAAAAAGAAAATGGAGATTTTTATCAGTGTTGTACAAAATCAACCAGCAGTGTATGCAATAACGGTCCGGTAATGAAAGACTCTTTCTTGATAATGATTGATGGGGATGGGGATGGGGATGGGGATGATGGATAATGGATAATGGATAATGGATATGGATATGGATAATGGATAATGATTATAAGTTCATAACCCAAAATCTTACGGCTGCGAAATTAAACAGCTTTTGATTCGATCGAACCTTAAAACTTGGAACCTGCAGGAAAAAGATGAAAGATTCGGAGGAAAGGGAAAGCGTTCAAGGAAGGGGGAAGGGGGGCCATTGTCATTTCTTATATACGGTTATGTACTAGGGATCTCTCCAAGTATAACTTGAGCGACGATGGGGGTGATGGAGATGAAGATGGAGATGAAGATGGAGATGGGAATGGTGGTGATGGCGATGATACAAAGCAATTGGGTCAAGATGGATCATCGATATGAGGCTATGGAAATGGTATCTGTAGCTAGTCGACCAGTATATGCCTATGATAATAATTATACATTTGAGTGAGGCTTTCCACTGGAGTCGCTTTTATCCATGAACCCCCAAGGGTGATGATGCATTAAACGGAAAAAGCACAAGCCCCTAGGTAGGTAGGTAGTAGGTACTAGGTAGGCAGTAGGTGCTAGGTAGGTGGAGGTGCTAGAGCCCTAGTACGAGTACATAGTATGCATCTATCTAAAAAGTCTCCATGTATTTTTACTTGATATCTGGGTACCGGTCCCTAGTCAAAATGGTAATAAGAGAGGAGTCAGTCATAAGAGGAGTCAGTAATATAATAAGAGTGAGGGAATGTAGTATCGTATCGTATCGTTGATGTTGATTCCTCGTCCTCGTAATATACAATAATAATATAATGATAACAATAATAGTAGCAAGTCTCCATCTTTTTCTTCCTTCTCTTCTCTTCTCCTCTTCTTCTCTTCTCCTCTTCTTCTCTTCTCATCTTCTCATCTTCTTCTCTTCTCATCTTCTCCTCGCCTCTCCCCCCCTCTCCTCTTCTCCTCTTTTATATCGTATTACACCATACATATAATGAATGTGCATTGCAGACTACAGTGAGTGCACACTCTCACACCCCAGCGGGATCTTCTTACCACCACAGCTCTCTCCCATCCGTTCTGGACCCTCCCATTCAAAAATTTATCAGCAATTCCGGGACTTGGCCAACTCGATCAAATGGATTGATTGCCTAGTGCCAGTGGGTACCGAACTGGGTAGGTACGAGTAGCCGTGGGTACCTAGGGAGCTAGGTAGGTAATAAGTATGGCTATGGATCTTTCTTCCAAGGGGCAAAATGAGATTAGGCGCCCAATCATTTACCGCCCGCAATCTAACCTATCAAATACGGGAGCTCCCTTTTTGATTGGAAAAGACTATCCACCTCCTCCGTACATCTTAGATTCGTAGTCTGCCGGAAGTATCAGTTCACCACATTAATTGGTCGGATGATTTAATTCAATGCCATCCATGTTACCCGAGCCTAGATACCTTTATTTAGGGTCATCATACATTACATACCCGTGGAGTGTGGACAAGACAATTTTCCATCACCCTACGAATATTACCTAGGTAGGTAGATCAACCGATCATATCAACCAAGTGCTTCTACGATACAGAATGCTCGATTGACCCCGAGGTCCTTCATCAATCTCCCGAGTCCCTCCCTCAAAACAAGAGACACTTCATTCAAGAGAGAATGCTATGAATATCTTATTCCTTTCAGTATATATGTATCACATTCTTCCTCACTTACTTCCGATATGGGTACAGAGAATCGAGGATTTCTAACTTCTTAGACGATATGATACCTTCATGTCCCCTTTTGCCGTCAATCAGTCATGTTATCAATACTTACAGATGCCGTACCTCAAACATGAGTAGCTACCTACCGTACCTACCTAGTACCTACAATAGCTCCCCTTGTATGATGCTAATCCGGTTATCTCTCTGCACCTAGCCTGTGGCAACTTGTCAGCTTACAGGAAACTGCTTACCCTCAAAGGTGTGGTAGGCAGTAAACTCGGACATATATCCTAGTTTGAAGTCTGAATAGAGATACACCAAGATGTGCTCGGAGCAACGGTACGTGAAAAGTATATAAATATATATATATATATATATATATATATATACATGTATTACATTGCCGACTATTGCTTCACACCGTACACAGAACGTTCAAACGGGAGAGACACGGTACTCACGCTCATCCGGATGATCTTTGGAGAAAGATCCTCGAACTACTATTATTTACTCTCCACTTCAGCGGTTATGCTTTGACCTATTAACGGGGCCTAGAATTGATGAAGCTATCACCAAACCAGGATCAAGCTTTTGGTGCCCAGGTGCCCAGGTGATTAGGTGATATCTTGTCAACCATTCTATGCCGTTTGTCCAACTTTAACTTTCCAACTGCCATGTCCCTCGTTCTACAGATATATCACAAAATCACAGCATTCAGAATGAGAGTCGTTTCTAGGGTCTAATTCACTCGCCAGATGCGGATGTCCGATGAACCCCCGAACAAAACGGCTCAAGAAGTTGAGAAATTGAGAAGTTGAGATGCTCGGATAGTTTTTCAATAAGTTCATCAGTCTAGCTTCTTCCCGTTCACTTTATAACAAATTGGTATGACCGTAAATTGGAAGGCCGAGCCCGAGTAGACTTTATCGACTACTCGAGTATCCCGGGGGATTGACAACAGCAACAAATGACTTTGCCAGACACTTGAAGGCATTGAGTCTTGTACTTTTTATGAAGGGACATTACTGATCTGGTAAAGGTCGTGAATATGGTATTCGGATACAGTGTTCATATACACTATCATGGTCATCTCTGTATTCTTTCTGTTTTTTCTGACTTCAGTCAATTTATACTCGTACTGTACGAAGCGCTTCTTGTGCACTTCTTGTTTCTTTTTCTTTTTCCTTTCAAAAAAAAAAAAAGATTGCGGGGAAGCGAAGCTGAATTGCGGGTTTGTCCCTGCAGGTTCCAGCAGCCTCGGTTTTACATTTCCGCTTCATCTCACATGTCAACAAACATCATGATCATCAACTCTTCGGAGCTGAGTAGAATATCTATCAAACGCAGTACAATACAATACTAGTATTGGTACTATCAATACTGACAATATACCAAACGTACCATCGTCTTTGAATTCATGTGAGATAAACCCGAGCTTCGCTGAATGTCCAGCGACTTGATCCGTCATCGAAATTGCTTGGAATGCAACACCGTCAACCAAATCCTTTACTCTCGAGCGAGGAAATGAAGTCCAAGTAGCTGGCGCATATTTGATATCGCAGAGTCTCGATCCTCTTCAAAGATTCAGAAAGATGGCTTCGCAATCTACTTTACGATATTCCGATCCCATCGGCGCGCTTTATCAAAGATACGCGAATCTCATTCGGAGTCGAATACAGGGAGCTTCAAAGGCAACAAAACTGATCGCAACTTTACTCCTCACTCTTTCCATAATATGCGGAGGGACTTTTGGTCATCGATCGTGGCAGAAACGAGCTGCAGAAAAGGAGCAGGGAAAGCGATTACATAGGCGGAACTCTGGACTCAAGAATAAGGATGGATCGCGCGTGGTATTCGTACCATATAAAGACACCACCTCAAAAGTCACCATATATCCTACCAAACCTTTGACTTTCGATGCTCATAGAAGACTTTTCCTGAATCCACCTCGAGCTGCTGGACTTACGGATGGTCAACAAACTCCGCAGATTCCGCCTCCCCAGACGAAGCCGGGATTGAATCTAGCATTTTTACATCAATTTCTCAGTCTCTTGAGTATAATGATCCCAAGATGGTCGAGTAAAGAGACTGGATTACTTCTGAGCCATGGCATCTTTTTGTTACTTCGAACATACTTGTCATTGGTTGTGGCACGATTAGATGGTGTAATTGTTAGAGATTTGGTTGCAGGTAATGGGAAAGCTTTCAGTTGGGGCATCATAAAGGTAAGAGTGCTAGAATTCATTTCTTTATATGTGCGAGGTGTACTTTATTCTCTTTTCATTTGATGTCTAGATCATCTCGTTTTCTCGTTGCTTTTTAACAATCTTTAATTTTCAGTTGACTGACTATATTAAAGTGGTGTGGCATTGGGGGTTTGGCTTCATACACAAATGCTATGATCAAATTCCTACAATCCAAAGTTTCAATTGCTTTCCGCACAAGATTAACAAGATACATCCACGATTTGTATCTTAATGATAACCTCAACTACTATAAACTCTCGAATCTTGATGGTGGCGTTGGGCAAGGTGCAGATCAATTTATAACACAAGACTTGACTCTTTTCTGTGAATCAGCAGCAAGTCTATATTCATCGTTAGGCAAACCTTTTGTTGATTTGTGTGTTTTCAACTATCAATTATACCGATCTCTGGGACCATTGGCATTGACTGGGTTAATGACAAATTACTTTTTGACGGCTTCAATCCTTCGACGACTTTCACCACCATTTGGAAAATTGAAAGCTGTTGAAGGACGTAAAGAAGGAGATTTCCGAGGTCTCCATGCACGTCTTATTGCCAATGCAGAAGAGGTAGCATTTTACGGAGGCGCCAATATGGAGAAGAACTTCCTAGATAAAGAGTTCAAAAGTCTCAAAAGATGGATGGAAGGGATATATACCCTTAAAATTCGTTACAACATACTTGAAGATTTTGTTCTCAAATATAGTTGGAGTGCATATGGTTATTTGCTCAGTTCATTACCAGTTTTCCTTCCTGCATGGGGTGGTCTTGGTGGAGTTGCGGAACTGGCGGATGTCTCTGTAATAGGCGGCCGAGAAAGAGGTCGAATGAAGGAGTTCATCACCAATAAGCGACTCATGTTATCATTAGCTGATGCTGGTGGGCGTATGATGTATTCGATCAAAGATCTCTCGGAATTGGCTGGGTATACTAGTCGAGTCTATACGCTGATTTCAACCCTTCACCGAGTTCATGCAAATGCATACTTTCCTCCCCGAGCCATTCAATCAGAACTTTTCTCTCTTTCAGATGTACAGGGTACCACTCAAAAAGGATTCGACGGGGTCAGGTTGGAAAATGTACCTGTAGTCGCTCCATCGGTCTATCCACATGGTGGAGAAGAACTCATAGATTCCCTCTCCATGGTTGTTCACTCTGGCGAACATCTCCTCGTAAGCATTCCACCTCCTTTCTTTCTCAATATCTCAAAGCTAACCCCTCAGATTTCCGGCTCAAACGGTGTAGGTAAAAGTGCCATCTCCCGTATCGTCGCTGGTCTCTGGCCTGTCTATCGAGGTCTCGTGTCTCGTGCCCGCACAACCGGAACCGATGGCATCATGTTCTTACCCCAACGTCCTTATCTCAGCGTCGGTACTCTACGTGATCAAGTCATCTATCCAGATGGCGAAGTCGAAATGCGTTCCAAAGGCCGTCGTGATATTGAGTTAAAACGTATCCTCGAAGAAGCGCGCTTGGGATATCTCCCCGATAGAGAAGGCGGCTGGGATACAAGAAAGGAATGGAAGGATGTACTTAGCGGAGGAGAAAAACAACGCATGGCTATCGCGAGATTGTTGTATCATGAACCTAGATATGCGTTTATAGATGAAGGTACATCTGCCGTCTCAAGCGATGTCGAGGGACTTTTGTACGAAACGTGCAAGGAGAAGGGAATCACGTTGATTACGATCAGTACGCGAGCGAGTCTTAAGAGATACCATACGTATAATTTGAAGCTGGGATTGGGCGATGGGGGAGAGTGGGAGTATGAGAGGATTGGGACGGAGAGGGAGAAGATGGGGACGGAGAAGGAGTTGCAGGAGTTGAGGGAGAGGATGGAGATGGAAAGGGTTTGGGAGGAGAGGAAGAGGGGGATTGAGAGGGAGTTGGAGGAGGTGTGGGTGGAGGGGGGGGAGAAGTTGGAGGAGATTGTTTATGGTGGGGGGAGGGAGGGGGGTGGGGAGGGTGAGGTGGAGGATGCAGATGTGAAGTTAAAGGGGGAGGAAGAGGGGGAGATGGAGGGAGGGAAAGTCAAAGATGACGGGGTACCTCCAGTTGAGATGTAAAGAAATGTATGAAGATGAAGATAGATGAGAGAAGAATGATTAAATATCTAAGTAAAGCATTTCGAAACTCAATCTTTTTTTTTTTGTATTTTAAGATCATATATGTTAGTATGTATATATGTATATATGATGTAGAGCGAATAACGAATAAAGTATAAAGTATAAAGAAGATATATCTATCTCGAGTCTTGAATATATGAATATATATAAGTAAAAATAATAAAAATGAAAATAAAAATAAAAGTAGAGGAGAGTAGAGAGAGAGGAGAGAGGAGAGAAAAAGCAAAATATCGACATGATAATAGATATCTATCTATATTTCATTATTCTATTATTAAACCATTTCAAGATTATAATCTCAATCTCAATCTCAATCTCAATCTCAATCTCAATCTCAATCCTTCTCTCTTTCCTCTCATTCCATCCCATCCCATCCCATCCCATCCCATCCCATCCCATCCCATCCCATCCCATCCCATCCCATCCCATCCCATCCCATCCCATCCCATCCCATCCCATCCCATCCCATCCCATCCCATCCCATCCCATCCCATCCCATCCCATCCCATCCCATTATCACAATATATAATATATAATATATAATATACCTAGATATTCTATACAATATAATACCTACCTACCATATAATACACTGAATACCTATATAGTATTTCTCAAGTAGTAGGTAGATAGGTAGGTCTGGTGGTCATCGCGAGCGACACACGCGGGTCTCCAAAAGATAGAAGATGGAAAATAAGATAAGATAAAAAGACAAGAAATAAGATATAAAAAGACAAGACTGAATCCAGACTCTGTTTCTTCTTGCGATCGATGTATGGATTGTAGGGTTGAAGAGAGAGATGAGTCTTAGTGCTGGTACAAACGCTTATTAATGTTTTGGCTTTAGAATTGAATTTCATTCGAGCATATGGGAAAAGTCCTTGTGGGTTTCATGACTAGTGAGAGTGCAGAATTTGCGGGGTTTAAAATGCATCATTGCGATAGGTTTTGATCATTACCGACTGTACTGGTGTTGACAAAATCTTATGTTTAGAATGAACCTGAGAATGGCATACACAGCTAAGATGAAAATAAGCTTCATGAAAAATCATCGACCATTGATTAAAATTTGCACAGAAAACATTTGTCATGTCAATATTGTTGTTTGCTATTGATCCCATTCATTGAGCTTAAGCTAGCACACCTTTCCGAGATGCATGTAAAAACACCAATATTTGAAACCCAACCCAGACTTATGCCACGAAACACTTAGTAGAAAGTTGATGGTCTCTTTGAGGCGAAGAGGTTGGCGGTCATGGATTTGGAGATGCGGTGAGGAAGAGGGAATTTGAGGTCCTTTTCGAGGAGTTGCTTAATGTATGGGCGCTTGACGTCTTCGGTCTTCTCGATCTCAACAACCTTGAGGATCTATTTGGGCAATCAGTAAATTGGTTTCCCTGATTCAAAAACAAATTGAACTTACGTGGATCGACCTGAAACGGGAACGATGTCTGGCAGCCATATCTTGGTACAAAGCCTCAACAGCATCGGTTCTTGACATCTCACGGTACTCCTTGTACATGTTGTGAGTTCCGGAGCGGGAATCATATCTGATCCAGATACCGAAGTTCTTAACCTTCATTGGGCGCTTCTCAGAGATCTGCAAAAGTGGAAAATTAGAATCTTAAGCATTCGAATACGTCATTGTGTAATCGCATACCTCGTTCAAGCTGACGATTTCTCCATTTGCCTTCTTGACCTTTCTCAACTTCATCAAGAAGTACCAGAAACGAGACTTTGCAACAACGGTGTTTGGTGCAAAGATTCTCATGCGGTACAACTTTGGGGCTGGGTTGGCCTCGGAAGGCAAGTGACGGCCAATGACCTGGTATTCTCTAAGGCGACCTAAAGGAAAGCATGTTAGCTTCCAGAACTTCCACTCTTAATCTCGAATCCATGCGGTATCAAAAAATAGATCCAATCCATGACTGGCACCATGGCGATGTAATTGATGATTGTTGGTTTGGCGATATATCGACTCCAATGGAAACGGTTCGAAAACAGAAGGTTTTCATTCATCGAGAGAAGGCTCTGATATGAAGATTCAAGAAGCTGGTAGTCGGTGCCTCGATTTTTGGATTCTATTGGTCCCATTCGTAAATTTCCCGCTTCCAAACCACAACCAATGACTTCATCCGACTCGATTCTGATCGCTCCAAATGCTCAAATCGAAAGCGTTTTTTCCCTGTGCCAATCATTACATTGTCGTGAGGTCCGTAGAGGGGAATTGTCGAGTGGTGCGCAATCGTCGTGTCGAGAATTTTTGCAAGGTCCATTCCATCGGATTGAAGAAGAAAATCTATATCTTACCCATCTTTATGGGGTTAGCTGACGTCGTTGATTTCTTTGCGATAGAGGTAAACGTACTGTGAAATTGTGTGGCCGTGGTTGTTGTCGTGATTGTCGCTGCAAATTTTGAAATTGATGGCTTCGCTCCTCCCAAATTGAAATTCTCGGTTGAAAATTGAAGCTAAGGGTTTCAATTTTTAGCAGCCCTAGAGATTTTGACCTTACCTTTTGTGGCTTGGTAAACAGTCCATCACGGGAAAGGTGGGACCATGGAGTGTCAATAGCATATTATCAATGGTGATTATTAATTTCATGAGAATCGAACTAGAGAAAGAAGCAATGTAATGAATGAATATGAAATTCATCATTGAAAGATAATTCCCATGACAATACTCCAACCTCTCAGTAAAACGGTAGTTGTGATATTATAACAGTCTATTCTTTGCTCTACGTTTTTTCTACATAGATTCATGATATCCTCGCCAGCGTTCAAGATTTTTAGTTCCCCTTCTCTTCGCATCAATCAAACCATCAAGCATCAAACTGGGTCACTGTTTCCTCTCAGACCATAATAATTTTCGTATTTGTTATTCAAGAGTTGCAAATCCCATCTGAAATTGAAGATGGATGCGTTTTTGCATGAGTTCAAAGCCGCCTACAACGAGGGAAATGGCTACAGTGTGTCTATGACCCTTTATCCTGTCGCCCCTGCTTCAAACCCCAACAGACTTCGAGAATTCTATCGAAGTACAAATTTCGAACATGTCAAGAAAGATATCGAATATCGACTTCTGTATGATGATCGATCTCCGTTGAATTGTTCGGTGGAAGAAGGTCGGGCATGGGTGGACGTTTACTGCGTCTTTTGGAAGTTCATTGGTTTCATGTCCAATGCAGAGGCTGCTCCTGAAGATAACTCAAAGGTATGAAACTGAATATCTGAAATGGAGGAGAGTATGACATGTGTCACTACTGCTTGACCCGACGTGTTTATGGGAACACGTGATAAACTTGCGATTTCTATTGCTACCATTTTCTGGTTCCATCTTTCATACGCTCAAAGATTCAGCTAACAATTGTTTAGGATGCATGGACAAAGGTATATGAATCATGGAAGGAAGTAACAAATGCTCTTCATCGTGGTTATAGTGCCTGCGGATTTGAAGCTTGGACTGTACCTTGCTTATACGTAGCTGGCAAATATTTACGAATCTTTGCCATCAAAGCTGATGAAGCAACTGGCACCGTATCGAATGCGGCTATGAATTACCAGGATGATTTGAATCCAGAGTCAGAGACAAACGAGAAGCTGGAAGATGCTGCTCGACAACTGAATCGCATATTCACCTTATGTCTTAGCGACCGAGCATCCCTTGAAGAATCTAGGAAATGGGCTACTTACAATATTATCAATTTATTGTTCAAGACCTACTTCAAACTAAACTCTATCGGATTGTCAAGAAATATTCTCAACGCGATCCAAGCATATCGAGGTGATATGCCGAGCCTCGAATCTTTTCCTATGTCTCATCAGGTGACGTTCAAATATTATTGTGGGGTTATATATTTTCTTGAAGAACATTATGAAGAAGTAAGTTTATCAAACTGCAATTCTTTTAATATACAGTTCTGACCAAAGATGTTTTAGGCAGAGAAATATCTCACCGAAGCATGGAGATTATGTCACAAGAGTGCCGTCAAAAATAAAGAGTATGTTCACAATCGTATCGCTGAGTGTTAAAACGAACACTAATCACAATATCAGACTCATCCTCACCTACCTGATTCCCTGTCACCTCCTAACAACCCACACTCTCCCCACTCCAGCCCTCCTCCAACCATATCCTAAACTTCAAAAGCTTTTCGGCCCTCTCTCTCGATGTATCAAAAAAGGCGACCTTGCCGGTTTCGATGCCGCCCTCCTAGCCGGTGAAAATGAATTCGTCAAACGTCGTATCTACCTCACCCTAGAACGTGGCCGTGACATTGCTTTACGTAATCTTCTACGCAAAGTATTTATCGCAGGCGGTTATGAAGAAGCCAAGGAGCCAACTGCTGCACCGGTAAGAAGGACTAGAATCCCAGTTGCGGAATTCGCTGCTGCGATCAGTATTGGAAGTAAAGAGACAATGGAAAATGATGAAGTGGAATGTTTACTTGCGAATATGATTTACAAGGTGAGTCTTAGAGTCTTTTCCTTTGAAGAGTCTACTGTACTAACACTTAGTCTTTAGAGCTTGATGAAAGGTTACATATCACGAGCACATGGGATCGTGGTATTAAGCAAAGGTGGCGCATTTCCTGGAACAGGCGTTTAATGATATCTCTCAGTGGTAGTGAAACGAAAATGATATCAATTACATCCTGCATGATAACCCGTGCATGTACGAAATGATTCTATTCGGCGATGTTCGCAACAATTTCACAATCTGTAAGTGCAAAGATTGGTACCGACGACATTTGCCTCTTAGGCAACCGTTGATTCGCCTCACTTTGATCAAATACACACTCGGCGATATACGTAAATCCAACATTCAATAACGAAGTATAGATTCCTGCTCACTGTATATACCACACCAAGATTTATCTCTGTGACGGGTAGTTACAGCATATTTCACACTAGCCTAGTGGTTGTATGTATGCATACGTATCATTCTCCTTCTAGTCATATATATATCCCTCGTTCCTTATCCATACACAGATCTGCCTTGAAGATCTTGGCATCTACCTACTTACATTCTGAATGCTATTCTTATGATTTATTCTTTTTATTCATTCGGGGTTATATCCTCTCTTTATTACAAATACATGCATACCCACACATATATACATTTATCCCCAGCATCTCGACCTCGATCCCGATCTCCAGTGCGTCGAATCTGCGTTGTTTTCTGTACACAATATTGAATACGTAAGTAGGTAGGTGGGTAGGTAGGTAGATCATCAAATATCCAAATACCTAATAAATAAATAAATAAAAAATACACTACCTACCTCCTTTAAACTCGACATCTAGTAGTAGCCCGGCACAGCATAGCATGGTTCATATATATTTTATATAAACTAGGTATACTATACTCTTTAGCCTTACCTCTCACAATGCATCTCTTATCTAATACCCCTATTCCTATTAAGCCTTTTTCTATCCCTATTTTACTTCCCTATTTCCTCATTTCCTCATTTCTATATATATATATCATGAGTCACTTATCTTCTCTCTTCTATCTATCTACCCATTCATCCATCCATCCATCCATCCCATCGATCATCAACACACCAACCTCAACCTCAACCTCAACCCAACCCCATCCCAATCACTCTTCTACTTACAAACTTACAAATTTCCCCAGAATACCATCTTTTCCTTCCTCTCTCTTAAATCCAATCCAACCAAATGTAACATACCGCGTCTGCGTCCAAAGAGCTCAAGAAGTTACATATATGATACACACAAATCACAACTCACAAATTACAAATCACAAATCACGAATCACAGTATCTCTCTCCTCGAGCTCCTCAACACGACAAGTAATGATTACAAGTATCGCTGAAATTGATATTAATACTTGATAATCGATACTACTACCACTACCATCCTATACCCATCCATGATTCCCACAAGTCCACGAGTAAGAACTCGATATCGATATCATCAAATTCGGATTCAAATGCAAAACTAAAAGCAAGAAGCCTAGTTCCTCTCCTCCACCTTTTCAATTTCTCGTCGCTTCGCGTTCTGTTCTGTTCTGTTCTGCAAACTCGACTGCCATTTTGGTTTGCTTTTCTTGCTATCCTACCCTATCCTATCCTATTTCCTTCTTTCCCCCATCGTAAAAACAACATGGATTGATGGATTTGACCCTCCTTTTCCCTCCCCATCATAAGAACTTATCATAACAGAAAATTGCACAAAATTGCGCAATAGACAACATAACATAGATGAAATCCCCCAGACTGAAAATAAGAAACCAAAGAGAATGGAAGATAGATGAATAAATAATACAATCCCATCCCCTCATCCAATCCATAATCTCGTTCTTTCGCGTTCATTGATCTGTCCTGTCAATTTGATATGTTTCTCCTTTCCCGTCCAGGTTTCCCTACATATCTGAGAAATGATGAAGTGTCCGATCTGTAAATGAAACGAAACGAAATGTTCAAATAACAAGACAGGAAAGAGGAAGAAAATAAATCCAGACATCAAGATATCTAGAACAAGAATAACAATAATACATGCGGCACCTTCAGCTGCTTCTCGTCTGTCCGTTCGCCCGTTCATATCGCCATCATGGCGGTGTTGGTAAGTCCTGATGAAAAGTAAAGCCAAATTCTAAAGAAGACCCAGTGTGAAAAGAACAACAGAATAATGGTGACCATAAAGAAGAAGAATAATAACGATGAACAGAAACGCTAACGCTAACGCCATGGTATCAAAAGAGAATAGGAATTAATGTTCGTTAGGAGAAGTAAATGGTGAGGTGTCATGAGATTTGGTCGAGGTAAGTTGAGACCAAAGGGGTCAAAATTGCGTGCGTGATAGAAGAGTAATGTAAACGCAACGCTTGTGTGATTGTTCATGAAATAAGGTAGATGACTGAAGTGAAAAGGAGAGGAAAGAAAATATCATCAGGAGGAGTGTCGTGCCATGATGCGGCACCCGTGGGGAAAGGAGACTGCAAGATGCTGAGTTGGCTTGAGATGAGATACGAGTTGCAACTATCATTCAATGAGTCCTGAAGCTTTTTGGTGAAGCACTACACTCATAATTAGCTAAATTTCAAACCACTTACATGTATCATTACAAGACAAGAATAGAAAGTACTCACGCAACAACATCATCAACATGATTAGCTAAAGCAACAAACAAGTCAAAAAACAACGGCGAACCTCCCTGCAACATCTCCAATTGCATCGTACCACTTCTTTTAAAAGTGCTTCGACTTCTGATAATGAGAGCCAGATAATGAGCTCTTAGTTTAGAGTCGGTATCGGGTGTATTGGCATATGCATAACGAGCCGACGAGAGAATTGTACTGCATTGAATACCCGATTCTTCATTCCATTAGCGACGACAGTAAAAGAATAAAGGGGGAAAACATACGAAGTCCCTGTTTCCTCAATGCCAAACGTTGAAGTTCCTCTAGCCCATACTTCTCCGCCGCACAATAAATAACTGTATCCTTCAACAATTCGCCATCAATAGAATGATGATGAATAGTCGATTCCTTTCCATCTCCATCACCACTTTCCAGCTCCCATGTATTTTTGCGTTTGTTATGTACTAGTCGAGGATAATAATCTCCTTTGTATAAATATTCAAGTACGGAAGAAAAGATCTCGGGCTCTTCATCGAGAAGTGTTATGCGTTTGTTAATCGTTTCCATGTACTGATTTCGACAGGCGGATTGGAAGAAAGGGGATAGACAGAGGACATCTTCGTGAGCAGCAAAGAGTCGTTGTTCGCGACCGACGACAATTGTAATTATGGATGAGGTCAATGTGCTAGAAAGAGTTAATCATCGTGATAATTGAAGTGCTGTGCTTGACAAACATACTCTGGAGAAGAAATTTGTTCAGTTGGAGGTTTACGAGTAGTTTTCTCATGACGATGCTTTGATACTGCATGTTCTCTAAACGAAGACTTTCCTTTATGACGACGACTTCTTGAAAAACTCTCTGTTGCTTGTGATGCTTTGAAGCTTCTCGTAAACATTCTCGGTCAGTTGCTAAAATGAAGCCTGTGAGAAAATCGATTGAAAATCACGACACTGTTTTCTACCACACAAACAGGAAATGAACGTTAGTGATATCAATCGATGAATAATTTGACCCAGAATGTTAATTGAGCCTCATTGATTGAGAGAAAGAATGTTCTCATGAGAAGTGGGTGGACACTTTATATATGTATTCATAGGCAATCAACGGACTAACGCGTTCTAGGACTGGAAGACGCGATTTACCAGGGTAGAGTGATTGCATAAGTGCGAAGCCTACACCAAAACAGGTGACTCTCAATTATTGTTATTTGGCCTTAGTTTTAATTTCTGCCTTATTTGGATTGAACATGCCATTGGAAGCTTTTCCCGTCCGCAGCAGTAAAGGCAGGGAAGCTGCATGAGAGGTTCGAGCAAATCTTACTTTTCGGTGAGACAATTATGTATGTCGGCATGTGTATCGGTATGGATGTAAGAGATGGCTTGGAAGGGGAAAACCAAGGATTATCGGGGCTTTCTTTAGGTACCCAATGGACGCCATCTCGCTGTCTAATGAAGCAAACGGAGTCATATAGGTGGTATTCTTGGGCTTCAATCACTATATCGAGCCTGAGAATCAGATATCTGCAAGTTTGTTGCATGGAGGTACAGATAAAGCAGCATTCAATCTATTCCCGATACATGAGCTGAGATGAGATATCGATAGAGACGTTGTATATATCCCTGCTTCCCCGGACCACTCATTGTACAGATAGGCATGACAAGGCTTAGGATATCCCCTCAAAAGGTTGGCCGTGATAAAAAGAAAGAAAAGCAAGGCTGCTGTACTCCGAAGTCTTTTTTCGTGGGAGTTCTTGCGAGAGAATTGGGATATCATAAAATCCATTTAGTTGTAAATACTCTAGACTTATGAAAACAATCATCTCTCAAAGTCCAACGAGCGAATGGCTGTGGAAATTGGTCGTCCAAGGTATCGATGAATTGGGGAGAATGTTGTACATCGCACATCGTAGGAATGGATGCAAGGAGGCAAGGAAATGCAGTGACCTTGAAAGCTGGAAAGTACATGCAACGCTAAAAAGTGCTAGTATGGGATCTTGGTGTGACCCGAAGGTTCGGAATTGCCTCTATAAGATACGTGAAACTGGGAAGAGGTAGGGGATAAAGAATACGGAGGGCATTCTTATCTGGAGGGTGTTAAAACTCAAATAACGAGGCTCGAGCGAGGATTAGATGCCCGGATGGTCAGATGAGAAATGGGGGCTGGGAAGAGAAGGTAGACTGGACGGACGGAAGAGACGACGTAGAGAAAAAGGTTATCGCGTCTTGAGGAGTATCATTGAGTACGCGGACTCACGTGATTCTCCAAAATGAGCTGTACGATAAATGATGCCGCAATAGAACTATACTCGGTAATGAAATTTACAATACTCTAATTTCGAAATCCTCTATATAAAGAGGATTGTAGTATTAATAGAATCTCATTTTTATCTTGCTTACTGGGGGTTTGAAGATATAAAGACTGTCCCATGAGTTCATGCACCACTAGTGGACTGTCGGTTTTGAGACCAGACGATACCTGGGTATATATTAGTTTGATATATCACCAACAACTACTTTACAATTCCACTCTACTCTAGACTGACATCCCGTATAGCCTCTGCAATGATCGAACTTCCACCCCCACGAACCAAAACCTCATTATGCAACGCACTTTGAATGACTTCTCTCTTCACCTCAAACGCAAGATCCGAGCACCTCTTCTCTAGCATACCTCCATGCGATTCCGGCACCAGCTCATCTTTTCCAGCTTGCAGAATAAGAATCTGTGGTAGTTTTGATCCGGACCGTTGAGTCCGTTCATGTAATTCGCCCAGAGCTTTCCAACTATCAAGGTGGTTTCTCAAAAATGGGTGAAGATGTCGATATGGAAGCCACTTTTGTGGATAGAGTGTCTCTAGCATAGCTTTACTATAGGTATGATATTGATTAATCTTATACTATCAAGGATTATCGGGAACGAAATACTTACATGCCCAGGAAAGGAGTCTCCAAAATCAATTTCTGCAGACGCAATTCGTATGAGAATATGCCACTCTTCGCAGCCAGACCTGTCACAATACCCGCTCCTATACTTTGACCCCAAAGAACAATATCGCATCCATCTGAGCCTGGTCGTGCTTCAAGATCTTTCTTAACCCATTGTATGCTAGCTTCTGCATCTTTCATGAGTCCCTTTTCCGATGGCCTCCCTCGTGATTTCCAATACCCTCTATAGCTGCAACATACAAAAACGTATTGTACAGACTCTTTATGGGCAGCGGACAGTTTTTCCAGTTTTCGTGGAACCGTGGAGAGGAAAGGAAGCCTTGGTGGTAACGATGCTGCATTACCTGTAGTTATGTGAATATATATAACCGCACAGCAAAAGAGAGGAAATAACAACCTTGGAAATACAAGACATAGACCATCCGCGGTCTACCTTGATCTTTTGTAGCACTGCCACAAGATGCTTCTGCGACACATAGGCTGATGGCAGTATTATCTGTGGATCTAATTTTCTCTTCTCTCCATTTTATACCCAGACATTCTTTTTGGTAATTTGCAATGGTTTCTTGTCTAGAATTTGGAGGCAATCCGGGCTATTCCCACTACATGAGATATGTAGAAGAAGACGATATGAGAGCGCTTACCATGTAGATGATTTTATTTTGAAATGTTACCATCATGAAGCATTTCCCTACCTTGACTTAGCATGGAAATCGTTGGGTTGGAGTGCCAAACAGGAAGATAGAAATACGTTGCATTGTGTCATGCAACGCACACTGGCTTCAATAAAGGAATAGATTAAGATATTTTCTCAATCTCAATTCACAAAAGGTAATCATGGACTTCATGATCAAGAAGGAGCACTGAACTTTCAATGCTCCCAGATGTCCCAAATCGTTATCTTTCAAATATCACACAAAATCATGTAGAAACCCTACTCACAAGTCCACATCGCAATTCCCAATCCCAAGAAATACAAAGGCGGAACAAGAACCATAGGCACCTCAAAGAATCCACGCCGTTGAGACTGTCCATATCCATAAGGCTTTCGTAAAATACATCTTGCCTGTTGAACAGGGAATCGAGCCGCCCGAAACATTCTGACTCAATGTTTCATTCAATATCAAGTATTTATTGATTCTTTGACTCATTGGAGTTCTCATGAACTGATAAAGCCATTCATCCGCATTGCCACTACTCCGTATTGTAGATTTTCTTTTTGGATTTTTTTAGATGTTTATTTCACTTACCTAGGTAGTGGAGGTACCTACTATCAAATCTCATCAGCCACACTTCGCTCGTGAACCTCGCGAGCCACACCTTTCATCGGAACCTTGGAACCCCTCGCCTCCCCACCAAATACCATCTTAACCTTATCATTATCAGGCTAATGATGCAAATTTGGCCGAGACTAGGTAGAAACAGCGAGTATCTCTTCGAATCGAACAAGAATAGAATTCTACTCGTAAGATAAGGGAAACTCTATATTTTTAATTCACTTGAGAAGATTCAAGCTGCAAGGCACTTATATTACTATTGTTAGAAACATATATGGGATTCAAATTACGCAGAGATCAAATATCGAGTGTCTACCTACCGACACCAATTCCGGTAATTACCTAAATTTCTGGCGTCACTCCACTATATACAAGCACAACAACAAACAAACAAACATACATACATACCCCTCCATACACTAGCAAATCTTATTTCAACACAACACAGCAGACTTCGCGGTGTAAGCTAATAAAAGGATATCCAAACGATCACCATGTCGAACGAAGAAGATAAAACGGCGACCAGTCTATCGCATATTTCCATCAACGGGGAAGACGTCGCAGGACATGATGCGCAAGAATCTACCCCTCCTCGTAGCAGCAGTGGCTGGGATGGAAAGTTACGTGTAGAAAAAGAAAAGGGCAAGAAGTTAGAGCTTGCTAACCCGGAAGCTATATCTGATCCTGAATATTCAGACGAGGAAAATGTTATGCCGGGGGAAGTTATTAATGCAGATGAAGGTATACATCCCTTGATTCGTCCTGGTCAAAGATATCTCGTTTCATCTACATACTAACATCACAAAGATCTCCTTGACGATTATCCCCTCGATACCGAAGAAATCGACCTAGTACACGCACGCATTTCCTCCATCCCTTCCCTCCGTCTTTCACGCTTCACCCAAGTCCAACGTCTTTGTCTTCGTCAAAACACGATCAGTACAATCGAAGATCTTTCTTGCCTTGCAGCCACCCTCACCGACCTCGATCTATATGACAACCTAATCGCGCATATCCGGGGACTCGAAGATCTCATCAATCTCACCTCCCTCGACCTCTCCTTCAACAAACTAAAACACATCAAGAAACTAAACCACCTCACTTCTCTCACCGACCTCTATTTCGTACAGAACAAAATAACCACCATCGAGAACCTCGAAGGGCTCTCCAAGCTACGCAACTTAGAACTAGCCGCAAATCGAATTCGGGAAATTCAAGGTTTAGACACTTTAACAGGACTGGAGGAACTATGGCTGGGCAAGAACAAAATCACCGAGATGAAGAATCTAGACGCATTGCAAAACTTGAAGATTCTGAGTATCCAAAGTAATCGCATTCGAGATATCACGGGTTTGGACAAACTTTCGGGTCTGGAAGAATTGTATATCTCGCACAATGCTCTTAGTTCACTCTCGGGTCTGGAATCATGTTCTCAGTTGCGCGTGCTGGATATTTCAAATAACGAAGTATCCTCTCTGAAGGGGCTGGAGGGACTGAAGCAATTAGAAGAGGTATGGGCTAGTTACAATAAAATCGCGGATTTCAACGATGTGGAGGAACACTTGAAGGACAAGGAAAAGTTGAATACGGTTTATTTTGAGGGAAATCCTTTGCAGTTGAAAGGGCCAGCGTTGTATCGAAATAAGGTGCGCTTGACATTACCACAGGTTATGCAGATTGATGCTAGTAAGTTTTCTTTTCTCGTGTCATAGGTGTGGCCATGAGCTAATTTTACGATAGCTTTTGTTAGGGTTTCATAGAATACGCTTTATGCAGGGAGGATGTTGGCGTGTATAAATGGAAGGTGGTCAGAGGGGTATTTGTGCACATACATGGCATAGATATGTTATAGCATGGCGAAGGAGTTATTGGTGGGAATCAATGGGTTTCATGGATATCACAGCGTGCGTATACGTAGGAGCACATTGCAGAGTGGATATAGAATTTCACGGGTGGAACGATTGCTTTTGTTCAACGCTTCAATTATCTAGATACTCTCGCAAGAAATGAAGCGATCGAAAGCGCAGCAAAATTTGTCATGTCAACCTTTATCATCTTTTTCATGCCTATGCGAAAATATGTAATGTTCCGAGATACTAAAAGGTCGGCTGTTAGTAAGGGGAACACTAACAACAAGCTTCGATGGCAAAAGTATAGACTTACATCAGTAGGGTTGTTGAATCTCAAATTTCGGTCCAATTTAGTAATGGAATCTAAATCTTCCTTCTCTAGATCGAAATCGGTAACGTGCAAGTTTTGTTCCAGACGGGATTGGTTGTTGGATTTGGGGATGACGGCGAGACCGCGTTGGGTTGCCCAGCTGTTGGAGGTTAGCATTGCTTGACGAGATAGAAAGGTTCAAAGAAGAGAAAAAGGAGAAGATTTACCGTAATAAAACTTGAGCAGGAGTCTTCTTGGTCTTCTCAGCAATCTTCAAGATATCTGGATGCTCGAAAAGAGGTGGAGTCTTTTGAGCGTGATCCCATCCAAGCTCGATGAATGATTGTGGACCGAATGATGAGCTACATATATAAATCAGTATACGATTCCCCTTCCGCAAGTCTCCAGAAGAAAACTCACTAAGCAGTAACCTTAATTCCCTCGCTCTCGGCCAACTTCAACAAAGTGCTCTGCACCAAATATGGATGATGTTCAATCTGCAACGTCGCCGGTCTAATTCTCGCATATCTCAACAAATCCATCAACAACGCGCCTTGGAAATTGCTCACTCCAATACTCTTTGCCAATCCCTCATCGACCAATTTCTCCATCGCCTGCCAGGTCTCCTGAATGCTCGCTTTGGACTGTTGCACATCGCCTTCCTTGTCACTGTACTGCCATCCGGGCGGATAGCGCACAGAGGGATCGACATAGCGCAGCGCCACGGGGAAATGCACAATAAACAGATCGAAATAATCAATACCCCAGTCTGCGAGCTGTTTGCGGGTGATGGGTCCCACGCGGTCGCCGTCGTGGAAGGAATTCCAGAGTTTGGAGACGATGAAGAGGTCTTCGCGTTTGACGATGCCTTCTTTGATGGCGCGGGCGACTCCTTGTCCGGCTTCGACTTCGTTGCCGTAGTCTAGGGTGGGTAGTTAGTTGGTGGTTTGGAGTGGGGTTTGAGGAGAATTGGGGGAAAGGGAATTACCGCATGCTCCGTCGAACAATCTATATCCGGTTTTGATGGCGTTGTAGACTGTGTCGGCGCAAGTGGCATTGTCGACTTTCCATAAGCCGAAACCGACTTGTGGCATTTCATGGCCGGAATTGAGTTTGAGGGTTGGGGAAGCCATGATTGTTGTGAATTTTTGGGTATGGAGTTTTGAGGAATGGGATGAAAATTGTTTGGATGGAAGAGATGGAGAGAGAGATTGTTTTGTTTATTATGAAGTGTACTTTCTTTCTTTCTTTCCTCTTGGAGAGCGGGGTTAAGTAGCTTATTAGATAAATGATGAGAAGGTGGGATGGTGGGGTGTGGAGGTGGGGCTAATCCTACAAAGTCGAGAGAAGAAACTTGTGGAAAATTTGGATGGGACGATAATGGGTGAATTTGATGGTTTGATTGTTTGATGTAAATACAATTATTCTCTTCTTCCAATTTATTCACACTTCTTCCACTTCACAGGTAAGGTTATGCAACAATCCATTCCTTCTCCAATGTTCCAATCATTCCCTTTCTCCTATAGATTCTCATCTCCCCATCAAAGCGTAACCCCGCTCTTAACAATCCCATCACATGCCACTACAAACTACAGGATAAAAATACATTCTCTTCATTCTCTTCATATATCTCTCACAACAACCTCGTCAACCCTACACTATCCCCTACATCTGTACCTCCGTTTTCCATGCATCAAAGTACCGATAACAATAATACGAATCCTCATTTCCGAAAGGATAGTCCCGCTTGAGGCTGAATGCAAGTAAAACTTTGCGATTTAGCCTAAATGGCAAGTTTCGGCAAATATGGTGATTGTTCCGCTTTGTGGTTGGTGGAGGATTAGATGGGATGGATATGTTTGGGGGAAAGGGGTTTTAGCATGATAGAATTGGGTTGCTTGGTATATGGAAGATGTTGGTCCGGATTGAATTAGGTATGGTTATACATGTACATGTAGGTGTGGAACGGAGATTTGGTAATTGCACTTACGGATTGGTGGGCTGATTAGCGAGGTGGATTCAGGGGATGAATATGAAGTGTACAGAGGGGTTCAATGAACGAGTTTCCACCCCTTCGAATGGGATTAGTGTTCCAATGTTCATGTTTACTTCTTTTTGTCTGTTCCTGAGTCGATGTTTTGTGTTCTCGAGTTTTTGGATTTATTCTCGAAAATCAGAGGGGATGTTACATTTACATTAGAGTCGTTGCACAAGGTCAAAACTAGGAGTATCCCGTGCAAAATTCTTCTCTTTTGACAGTTGTCTCTCAAGTCGAGAAAATTTTCATAGAGATCGAATTATCCCAGAGGAACTGGCGGTGGTGGTGATACGTGGAGCTAATGGTACACAAAGCTGGGTATTATTATTCGTGCTTCCGGAAGAAGGTGATTATTAGGTGATGGAAGTTTGATACTGGTCTGCGATACTCAAGAGGAAGATCACCGATTACATCCATTGTAGATCAGAAAAGCGGGTTGTTTTGGATACTAAATGTCTTGTGCTTTGATGAGAATTTCTAGTGAGTCCTGCGAACACTATGTGTTGCAGAGATGTCAAGTCTTTCAATGAGTCGAAGATCAAGGTGTGAGTTTCATGATGTTTTAGTAACAAGGGAATCTGCATCATGGATTCATCTTCAACTATTTACATAGCTACCCCATCAGTTTACACCAATCCGGCTATTCTGTTTGTAGAATTCATCAACTTCCTCGTCTGTTGGGTGCAACTTATTCATAGGTTTCTGGTTTTCAAGCCGTTCGAGTTCGTACCAAGACTTTCCTGCGATGGGAATCTTGACAGTGATCTTATAGAGCCCATCATATCTGAAACCAACCGGCGGCGCGTGAATAGATTTAGAGTTTGCTCCACGAATAACTCGAATACATGTGCCCGCTGTGTTCTTTCCAAAAAAGCTCAAATCCATCAAATCCGTATTGTCCGCGAGATAGAAAATTTTCTTATGCTTTAGTTAGCCATACCCCTAAGATTTCATGAGAATATTAACACACGTCACCATAGTCCTTGTTCTCGTAGCCCTTATTCTTGCCACCACCAGGCCCCAAGACGATAGATACAGCTCCCACACCAGCCTTTCCACCTGTCCCCCTATCTATGAACGCATGTGCCCTATCTCTCTGGTAGCCAAGTGGATAAGGCCACCAATCCCCGATAACATGGCCATTATGACCTTCGGCATACACATCTCTCTCATCGTCCTTCCATTTTACATATTTTGCTAGCTGCTGGAATTCCATCCCCCGAAACATGTAGCTCTCTACATATTTGAACTTTACTTCGGCGACATCGGGGTTTGGAGTATTGAGTTTGTCGATAGCCTTAAGATCGACTTTTGGATTCTCGAGATCAGTAGAATTCGGAAGTGCAGACATTGTTTGGGAGGAGTTTTGATAGTCGGATGTGGTGTAAGGTATTGATGTACGCTGTATTATCTGTGAAATTACTCTTGCAGTAGCAAAGATATTCAACAGAGTTTTAATATAGATTTGGCGGATCTGGCCACTTTGTGCACTTAATGAGATGCTAGTCATCCGTTCGCTATTTGTTTCTCTTGGTTTGTATTGTGACAGCTATGTAAATTTCATATCAAACGTTCATTGAGTGAATCATCAATATCATGAATAGATAGATCATGAGTCTTTAAAGATCACAGTCAGAATCTCTCTTAGAATAGTTCAAAGCTTGATAAGTTCTGCTTGCCATTGAAAGTTTGGAGAAAAGACTTCAAGACTCACATAGCCGAGTCGTTATGGCATCCGATTGGTTAGCTCAGCAGAACTTTTGATTTGCCTATCCTTTGGAATTGATGATTTAGAGATGTACAGAATAGATATATGTTTACATGCTGGCTTGAGCTATAATAAGGTAGATGAAGCAAGCACCCATTCCTTAAGTCATGTATCTCTGTGGACATTTAAGGACCTTTAGATGTCTCAAAGATCCTAAGACCCTCAGCTTTTAGATTGCGTCGACATCTCTTCTAAGACGAGACTTCCTCCTACGTGAGCTGAACCAATACTATATCCGTTGCGATCTACTTCACAGTTTTTGATGTAAGCAGACACAATCAACACATGTTAAGTCGGTCAATTCTCATCCACGCTCTCTCCTCCTACAACCACCGCCATCTGGTGTAGAGAAAAGTAAACAAGTAATATGATATAACATCTAACACCTGGATTTCCAATTCTCACCAAGGAGCCCTAAATATACAATCGAGTTGTGAAGCCAAATCCTTGGCACTTGGTAGTCCTCCTCCAGCAAATCTCAACTAGATGCCCAGAAAGCCAAGATACACTCTCAAATCAAGTCCATACTTCCGTGATACTATACTTTCAATCTATTTACTGCCATGTTTTTCACCAAGCACGATCTCAATAGCAACATTTCATGCTCTTGTGTTGAAAAACATTGATTCATCAGACGATGATGATCAGTAAATCATGATCGCTTCTTTCCAGGTAGGCAATGTTACGAAAACGGCTGTAGGAAGAATGAAAACAATTCACTGAAAAGAATTCACAAAAGACAAGAATCCCTCTCTGCCGTAAAGTGACCGACACACATTCAAATCGAATCATGACCCCATCATTCAAAAACAAATCTCAAAAACATACCGACTCGCATGGGACTCGAACCCACAGCCTTTGCTACCGGAAAGCAATGCGCTACCATTGCGCCAGCGGGCCATTTATAATCATTGCGAAAGGGGGTATCGTTTGAAATATATGAAGGTACCTTGCCTCGGTACTGTTTTGTGAAATAAGACAAGCCACTGATTCAGAAGGAGCCAATCTGGTCCTAAATCTCGTCATAAAAGTGGCTTGGGCAAGGAATGTAAATCGTATGGATACAAGAAAGGGAAATGAGACTTTCGCTTTCCAATCAGCCAATGCTGTACTAATTCTCATCTCAAGTTCAAAAACAAAAACATGCGAAGGTCCGGCGAATTTCAATTCAGAAATTAGTTGTGTAACTTTTGGGATCGGCTCGTGTTCTTGTCAACTTCATCAAGAGAGTTGGGATTTTTTTCAAGACTCTTGCGAATACGAATATCTTCTCATTCCGCTCATCGGTTCGCGATGTAATCAAATCACTAACTTCAATGTCTTGGAGTATCTCATCCGGAGTGGTTGCACTAGACGTGATGTTTATCTGTATATCTCAGAAGATTGAAGTGTCAAAACCCGCCTCAAAGGTCGTCAGATGAGAGTGAAGGAAGAAGATACGAAGAGAGCGGGAAACATCGACGCTCACGAATACTATTGGTAGCTACGCAAAATCATCCAATCTCACCCTTGAATATTCATGTTCAAATCGTGGCCGAAAGTGTTTGGTCGACTAGGATTACAAGATTGACACTTCCAGGTTATTCACACACGCCGGAGAAAGATCATTTATCCTTATATCATTCATATTGAAATTCTGTATGCCAGATTATGTACTTTAAACCCATTCCGTCTAACCAATTAAGCTTGTACCTCCTATTCCTTCCTTCATAAGATGAGTATCATACCAATCATCAACCAGAGAATGCTCCCAAATCAAACAAACAATAAAGAGCGTCCTGGGTATCCCATTCCAAATTTCCCAACATTAAATTAATTTCGCATATCCTCATCCCCTACCAACTAAATGTCATCATTTCCGGATTCAGCGCCACCGGCAGAAGTAGATGACTTGCAACCATGACCCCCAGAGGAAAGATTGCAATGAAATCATCGATGTTGTAACTCCAGGGCAAGAAAGGAGCTTCTGCCATAACGACCATCAATACGATACCGAATATGCACATTAAGTATGTGTACTTGAAGGTCTTGAGAATCTTGGGGACTTCGAGGAAGAAATTGGAAAATTCAACTTCCTTTGAAGTGGCACCCCATGTCATGTTGATCTCAAACATGTGGCAGAGAAGCGCTTGGGACATGTGAAGAGAGACGCCACCGAAGAATATCATGAACATGAAACACCATTTTAAGTTTTCAAGGACTGGAAAGGAAGACGTTAGTTTGAGGGTCTTGGATAAACGTAGAGAGATAGATGGAGAAGAGAGTGACGATGAGATTAGGAAGACTTACTAGCAGGAAGGAAGGATTTTTCACCAGAACGATGACGTTGTACGGCAAGACCAACATTACCCGCTCCAGTAAACACCACAGTAATTGCGAGCCAATTTTGCCATGAATCAACATAAGCACGATCGAGATATCCATTCCAAAGACCAACGAATACGTAGTTTGCAAGACAAATCAACCATGCACTACCCAATGCATAGTATGTGCCGATGTACGCAACGATTTGAACTTTCGAACCAATGTCGATACTGGAACAGATAAATTTACGGAAGAGAGGTGTGAATGGAGACTTCCACAACCATGTTCTAATAGGATTGAACATAAGCTCGTTACATCCATAAGCTATCAATACGTCAGCAAGATTCAAAAGCGCAAGGAATGATTAAGCTTACCATATTTTTGCCAGCGCGTCAATTCATCGTAAACAGTGAGAGATACACCTTCTTTGAACCCATCACCAGCCCAGGCGGCCATGCGGATGGTATAGTGCTTAAGTTGTAATCGTAGAGCCATGTCAAAGTCCTCAGAGACACAGGACTCAGACCAGAATCGTTCATGACCTTCTTCATCCTCGAAAGCGATCTCTTGGATAGCAGACCATCGAAGGATTGCATTGTGACCTACAAACGCTGCCACACCACCATTGGCAACACCGTAACGAATAGCAGAGTAGATGAGATTTGTGAAGAAAGTAATGCCATTTTCGAAAAAGTTGTGCGATACTTGCATGACAGCAGAAGAGAATTGAATGATGCCGACATCTGGAGATTGTTCCATTTCGCTAGCAGCATCAAGCAGGCAATCTTCTGGAACCTGAGTATCGGAGTCAATGAGCAGAATGTAGTCACCAATTCTAATGTTGCCTTCAGCCCATGCTTCAGGGTTCTCATCAAGAACGTCCGACATGCATGATTCAAAAGCTGCAACTTCATCAACCTGAGTCCAAGTAGCTGGTCTTTCGATGTCTTGAAGTTTCTCTTCAATGGAATTGGATAAGGCAAGTCCGTAGTTCATGTTTGAGGCTTTCTTGAATTTTCCTTTACGTTCGTATCCATTTTGACCATTGGGAGGACGGGCTGTCCAGCCAATGCCATGATCAGCGTAAAAGTCAATTCTTTGTTGTCGAGCAGCTTCATCGAGAAGTTGAAGACCGTCATCGTTGATAAATATATTTGCGGAGCCTCCTTGCAATTCGTAGGTAGAGATTGCTTTTTTGATTGAGGAGACTGTTGGAGCAATGACGGCGGCTAAGCCTTCTTTATACACAGGACATTGAATGGTGACATGTGGTAGTGTCGTGGTTAGAAGACGAGGAGGTGCTTTCGCAGAGAAGAACTTGGTGTTCCTATTCAGTTGCTGAATTGGACCGAAGCACTGCATGAGAACTCCGATTACAACGTTTGTGAAGAACTATCTAACGTTAGCAACCATAAAGACGAAATTTGATATTGTGGGGAACATACCAAGGAAAAGAAGCAGTAAATTGGAGTGACAATCAGATAGGCAAGAGATATCCAATGCTTCAATACTACGACTTCGATTGCCAGCTGAGCGTATCCTAAACCCATAATACAAACCAGAAGACAAATTGAACAAGAGACCATGAATGAATTGAGGTACATGGTCGGTCTCTCTTCAACGACAGCCTGCCCTGACTCTTCGTCAAGCTCGCGGACTTGAGTTCGAGGTTGCGATTCACTCTTTTCGTGTTCTGTTGCATTCCAGATAGTCTGTAGTAGACCGTCCTCGATTGCTTTGGCTCTGTCAAATAGTAGTGTTGGGTCATCTTCCCAAACAACGAGAAGAGCTTCTCTAGCAATGAAAGCAGCATAGTGAGCTCTGCGAGCACGGGGAAGATCTTCAAGTGTTGGTAGAATCTGGACTCGAAGGCCATTGGTAAGAGGTACATCAAGAGCGTCGGGCGATCTTGTCAGAAATGGTTGAACGACGGTGGAGTTGATGGTCATAGCAGCCTATACCCCACATTAGTATCATGTTTCCAGGTTAATATTATGCTTAAAGAGTGAAACTTACAGAAACATTCATGATCTTCATCGCCCTACCAAAGGTGGAGCTAGCTAGTGCTGGAGGACGACAAAGATATTCTGTCCTATCTTTGCGTACCATGACACCCTCATGCTGACCTGAGTTATCCATAATCCACATCAGACCTCTTTGTTTCTGCCATAGATAATTGAGAATAACTTGATGTCTGATGTCGTCTAAACGATTGTTGCTATACAAGCTTTGCCTGCTCGATGCAGTAGGTGATGGGTCTGAGTAGCCATGACGAGGAGAATCATTTTCAACGACAGAATTTGGGGCAGCTGGAGCTTTCTCTTTGCTTGATTCAGACTTCTCAGGCTTTGAGATCTTGAAATAGCTAAGAACACCCATGATTAAGAGAGCTTTAAAGAAGGTGGCTCAAGTAACGAAAGTGGTTTGCACGACGATGAGAAAAGAGAAACGGATAGACACATGGACGAAGACACAAACACATAATATAGATGCCCACAAGAAGGCGACACCGACAGCCTACCATTTTTGCATGCCAGCTCAAGATAGACACAGAGCCACCCTTCAGCCAGACGGGAAAATTTCATGGGTTTGATCGGAGCACCACCTACATGATAGCGTCTAGAACTGAGCGTAAATTGTGAAAAGCATGAACGTGGGTTTCGACCCTAGTCCAATCGATATCCCCCGAAAGGAACTTTGGTACTTTTGACGGCTTTCCGCCGATCAGCCTGAATCCTAGAAGATTTCCCTCAAAGTTTCCACTTTAATTCCATTGAACACAGCCAAACTCTCAGAAGTATGCATAAACGTCGGACCGGCCAGTGTCCGAAAGCATGTTGTATTTCGAGCAGAGCTTCTTCAACTACTTGAAGCCATCCTTGGGAAGATCTATCGCTTGATAATGATCTAGGTCGTATAATACAAGGAATATCTGCAGCTCAGACTGTCGACAGGGAGAAGAACACTCGCATAATCTGGTCCATAGACATCGCTTCTGTTGGGACTCGAGCGAAACCAGCTGAGTTGAAGCGCTGGCCTATAGTGCCGTTGTACATACGGTGAGGGGATTTTTGCCTGCATGGAAATATTGAACTTTATAATTGGACAACAAGGGTAAACAAAATCATCCAGGGTTGCTTATCAGTATACGCTCGTATCAACCATGGACTTCTAATCTCTCGCGATGCATACTGCAACAACTGAATGCGGTTTTTGACAGGCCAATGGTATTTCAATAGTTAGTAGGGTCGCAGACGCGTCTGGCTAATATGGTTTGTCGTTTATTTCTGACTTTGAGGCTATCGATCTTCAATGGTACTATCTTCCAAAATCAGCGGTTCATCCGTCTGACAGTCGGAGAATTATCGAATTAGGAAATGATACGCTCGAAATGGTCCAATCTCATGCCAAATGAGGAAGCTTATCGCCTAGCATCACTAAAGTGGAAATCGGATTGAAAAAAATGGTAGATCCAACGTGGCAGCCATATCTTGCAAGTTGCCCTGTCCTGCTCGCTTGTATCCGTCTAAAGAAATGGATTCCAAATCCACCTGGAAGGCTGAATCTGGGTACAAGGCCGTTCCAAAGCTCAGCTGGAGATGAAAAGATTCTTCTACGCTGTGTCTAGGTAACCACTTTGAGCGATATTTTGCGAAAATTGGACGAACACGATTTGGTGTGCCAGCTATTAAGAGGAGAACCTGCAGTTGTCTACCCAACCTCTTGCACCAATCAGTTCGTAATGATCCACATATGACCCACAGAACGCGGGATGCGTGGTGATGTTCTTCAAGGGCTTAACTCTGATCCATACAGAACCCTGTCGGACCTGATTGTCGTATCGAAATCCAAGATACGCATTCTCATATCTCAACCGTCGTAAAAAGAAAATCCGAGTTCAGGATTTCAAATGGCGATTTTTTCGAGGTGCACAATACAAGCATCGTGTTATAGTACATATGCGTGAACGATAAGTAAGTAATGCTGCCTAGGATGCTTTTTGTTGCCTCGAAGATAAACATGTGATTGATGTGTCAATGAGATCCCAACAAATTCTAAACGAAGCACATTGCATGAATGGACATATGAAAACGACATTGATGCGACCGTACTACAATGATCAATCTACGATGATATGATAAGAACATACAACGTTATTCTGTTGTGTACCATCGGCCATATAAGTTGTGGTCCCTGAGTGATGTAGTTTAGATGTAAGCTTTCAAAAGCGGAATGTTGTTGGTAGTTAGAAATACTGGCAGTGGAAGTGCTCGGCAGATCGAGGTGCTGTATTGGGACAGGAACTTCAGACGGAGAGCGGTCCGGAAAGTGTTCTGTTGTGTTACTGTAATATACCACATTTTAACAGTCGGAAGAGCAGGTAATCTCTAATGCCGTCTTCCCTAGCCGAGCTGATGTGACGGTTTCCGGGATCTCTCGCCTCCTTTCAGTCGTAGTACATGAAGATGTCGCCATTAATATCAAGAATGCAATATCACTTATAGTGCTATACATTCGATGAATAGTTCAATCTCGCGAAACTTGGTTTTCCTGCCCCCAATTGATTTATATTGAATGCAACCACAGCCAGCAATGAGATATTGTTGGCAAGGAATCTCCCGTCCGTGTGCGTGCGTTTTATTCCGATGCAGGCTAACAGTGGATCTTGTTGCTTAGCATTTGCAGGTGAACATGCATTGGAAATCAAGGTCATAGTCAAAATCCATATCTCGAAAATTATAGTATGTTGCTTTGTTTGTCCCGTCTAATAATAACTAGAAATCCATTAAACTTGTCATATCCAAAGAAATCCTCCAGGGTCCGTTTCCTATCCTAATTACGCCGATCGTTACAGTAACTCGTTCCTGTCCAGTCTTTGTCAAGCTAAAGCTAATCACACTGTTGCCACATGTTCACTTGGTCCACAATCATTTGTCCACTCTTCTCCCATGTAGGAAGCCACTCGTTTCGAGCTTTCCAGAAATCGAGCTTTGCAGATGCGCTTCCATCAACCCATGGCTTTCCATCTGCTCCATCCAGGAACCAGCCATTCTCCCCTCCAACAGCAACGTTTAAGATAAGATAAAATTCTTGATCGAACGGTGTATTTTTTCGGCCCGTTTGTGACCATGGATCCACGATCGCTGTTCCATTGGAATCGCTCAAGGGGAAATTTCCCTGTGGCCACAATGGACTGGAAAACGGCCAATACATGACTTGGCGCAGCGTGTTATCAATATACGCAAAGATAAACTTCTCGGTCCACTCCAAGCCGTAAATGTGGAAATCATCACCGAACTGGGAATGCAAAGCAGCTCTCACGTTGGTGGTCTTTTTGTATGCATCGCTGGCCAAATCTGGACCCCAATGCAAAGAACTGAATACGAAATTGTTGCCTCCAAGACTGTAGGTGTAGTTGTTGCCACGCGATTCCATGATATCGATCTCACCACTCTGTGGCCAGGATCCATAGGTATCCTCAACTGGCAGCATCCAAATGGCTGGCCAGAGCCAATCTCCTTTCGGTAGCTTAGCCTTGACCTCAACTTTTCCGTACTTAATGGTGGCACCAAGCTTGGTATTGATGCGAGCGGACTTGGCTGGTTGCACGATAGTCCCGTTGGTTGTGTTTGTAGAAGTGACACAATTAACAAGTATATTGGAGGTGGTGGTGCAAGTTCCATCGGCGGTGAGATTGATGATATTGTTGGTGGTGATCAACGATGCATCTTGAATTGTAGGCTTAATGTAAAGCTGCCCATCTTGAATGAACAAATTCTCGGCATCTGCTGTGGTTTGCTCAAATTGGCCATTTCTGTTTTGATTGTCAGAGTCTGAATGTATGTACGTAAGGGAAGAAACTGACCCATAACCTCCTACTTGAACTTCTGTTGTCCAAATATTTGGATCTAAAGCACCAGAGGAAAAGTCTTCCAAAAGGACTGGGCAGTACTTGTGTTGTGTGATTTCAGACAGTTTCAAGTAAATAATGAGACCAGTTAGACCCAATCCAAGAAGCAAGCCGCAAAGAGGAAAAACCCACAAGAGGGCCTCCTTCTTTGCCTTCTTGTTTACTGGAAGAGGTATAGCATCTGCTTTGCGAACGCGACGAGATCGAAAGTATCCTGTTCCAGGGACTTCGGCATACTGAAATCCAGATCGAGCCCCAATTGTCGAGGCAGGTCTTGAATATGGAGGTGTCGCGAATGGATTGGAAGTACCAACAGGAGTCTGTGCACGACTGTTTTCCTCAGATTGAGGGGTACTCTTTGGAGTGTTGACGTGAGATATAACTTTCTGCATTTTTGCTGTAGGAAGAAACGAGTGATGCTAAAGTAAAAAGTTGCACTATCAAAACTCAGACAAAGCTCGAGGAGATTTCACATTATAGCCCAATGCTTCAAGCGATCACCACAACCTGTTTCCTGAAAGAATAGAGTATCCTGCAAGCTTTGGCAGGACCCTTATCGGATGTGCGATGGTCGAGAAAGTGTATTGAGGACCCGCAGTATACATGGGGCCCCTGTGGCGCTAGTAATTCGTCAAATCGGAGGTTCCTTGATCTAAATGTCTAGCCCTGGCAACACAACACGACTATTGACGGAGTAGACTAGCAAGAATTCAATATTGTTCAGCCTTAACTATCGTCCACACCTTAAGGTGCTGAACTGTTCTGGCCATGGCTCTTACAGCCATTACCCATGAATGTTACATTCATTGAAAAGCACAGCAATGAAATACTTGGCCACTCAACATAGACCCCACTTTGCATTTTTGAAGTAGGATCGAAGTATGAGAAAGGGGGTTTAATGAGAATCCCTTCATTGAGTATTTATCTGCCCACTTTGTTAAAATTGTTAAATGAAAATACTTAGCCACAGGATGAAGAAAAAATTGACCTCGGATTTTAACGTCGCACATTGGTAGGATGGACGTGCGCCCACGACCCATTTCAACACAACATGCTATGAGTGTTTATTAGTGTACATCCATAGCCACCACGTGTGTTGTCTTCATTGTGTCACACACTTCTTTTCAGGTCTTCCTAAATTATGTGGCGTCAAAGGTGTTGTTATCTCACCCGAGAAAGTGAGATTATTGATCAAGTTGTGACCTGTCTTGAGACCCATCCTCTCTTGACCTGTGGGTATAGGATCAAATTTTGCCCAGCTTATCCCCGGACATCTGTTTTAGGGAGACTTAGGTTCTATGAGGCGTAGCGATGACCCTTGATTGAGAGCAAAGTTGGGGTGAAATGATGAGAATAGCATCGCCTTTTGGATTTCTGAGTGGCCAGATACTGTTGTGGAAATGGTAAGGAGGCTGAAGGCGTTCAGCTGGAATATGGGCTTTGAAAGAGAAGGTAATCGTGTACCTCTGAAAAAAAAAGTATAAATAATCCCAAATCTACAGATATATCCAGAAAGAATCAGATCAGCACAAACCTTCAGTCTTCCTTTTCTAGATAACACCTTTCCTGCAATCCTCGTTCAGAACAAAACCAAACACCGCAAACATGAAATCAACAATTGCTCTCTCGACTCTTCTTGCGGTAGTCACAGCGACTCCCTTCCTCAAAGCTCGAACTCTCGATATCTCAGCGTATAAAGCTGTACCAACCGCTCCTGTTAGAGGAGCCCCTGCCGGCAACACGGCGACAGCGAGTATTACATACAACCCCTCATCTGTAGCAGGCGCCGCTATTGCAGCCGCAACTTCCTCTGTGGCTATTGTGAATCGTAGACACAAGCGTAGCTCCTGCTCGGGTACTTGTGCTGTCTTGGCTGCGGGGAATGGGCCTAGTGTTAACAGCCCGGATACTGCGGTAGCCTTTCAGGCGGATCAGAATTTCGCCGATGCAGCACTAAATGCTGTGACTCCCCCAAACTACGTTCTGGTTGATGGGTTCCAAAATGTTGATGCAGCTGCTCAATCTGCTACGTATCTAACATACATCTCCGACTCTGTCACTTCTTACGATCCTGCAATTTGTGCCAACGCATGCAACAATATCCAGGGCTGCACGTCTTTCAATATCTGTAAGTCCGCCCTTCCAACGTTCTGCACCAACACTAACGAATCTAGTCTTTGAGAGAGATCCAACTGTTGTCCCAGATACAGAAGACTGTCCAAACCCTCCCTCCCAAACCCTTATAAAATGCTCTCTTTTCGGTGGCTTGTTAGACGCTTCATCGGCTACAAACAGTGGTCAATGGCAAGCTGATTTCCAAGTTGTGATTGCTGGTTCGAACGCATACAATTCAGTTGCGCCTCCAGCGATCCCAGGGTATGGAGGAGTACAAAACTTTGGAACTGCTACCGTGAATGCCCCTGCAAATACTACAACATATAGTAAGTGCCAGGCAATTGTTATAGATCTGAGGCCTAACAAGAGTTTACTAATGCGTGTATAGTGGGAGTGGAAGCTTTCCCTCAGACTCAGCCATACGATCCGACTGTCTGCGCTGCTGCTTGCGGTGCAAAGAGCAATCCTAGCTGCGCATTCTTCGTATCTTTCATCTTGTATGAAAATGGACAGAACGGCGTATTGTAAGATTCCACCCTCCTCTTCAATATCTCTTTTGCTTCATTTGTGCATTCTTGCTTTTCCTCTCAACTATAAATGGCTTCCGTATTTGGCAATCACTGACCCGCCGATTTCATAGTACTTGTACATACTTTACCGTCCCTTACGGAGCCGACAGAGCGAACGAGATTGGACAATACGATGCCCAAGGAAATCATTACACGATCGGCCACAGCTTTGGATTCACTGTTGACGGCGCCACAACCGAATGAATCGAATGACTAGTCGTGTTACGGTAGCTGCTGTGTTTCTTTTCGAGGGAGGGGTGAGGGGGACTGATTTTATCGAGAAGGAATCAATTGGGGGAATTAATCGAAAGACCTGGCGTTGAAAGATGTCAATAGCTTGCCTTTTTTTATGAATAGACTTATGAATTTTCTGCGAACAAATCATTAAACCCATTGGTAGATCCTGACTGTGCATCTTACAATCGGGTCACTAGTGATAAATTTCCTCGCGTATCATTGTCCCAAACCATTTTATCGTACCAAGTGATATACACCCTGGCATGGAGGAGGAGATTGAGGTTTCGAAAGATTGAAAACGCAGCCCGAACTTCGCCGCCCGTGGTTTCGAATATTCTGGCATGACTCGATATTTCGGATTACTTATCTCTTAGATTTATTTCATATTTCAGGCAAATGCTAGAAGCAAGAATCGGCCATGGCTGGACGGAAATGCGAACAACTTAGAAGCAAGCAAGAGCAACTGCGTAACAAACAGACAGATCTAGGGGCATTCACGCAACCAGGGCGATCAGCAAGAGTGTACTCAGAATATTGTGCAACTGTACACCAGGAAACAACCTGCTGGATACACACGGCTTCTCATCTGTTGCTATATACACTCACAATTGACAATGATGAGATGTTTCAAAATCATTAATAAGATTCGAAATTATCGGCCCAGGCGTATCGGCTTTTATTTCGCGGTGTATTCCCAAGCGCTGAGACCCGTGCTTGAAAGATGCCGAGACGAGTCACCAATAACTCAATGTGGGGGTACGAATGCTGTCTGACTCGACCGTAAGAGTGACCGTGTGCATCGATAACGAAGCGATAGGTATGTACGATACATAGAGGGGTATGAGTTGTAAAGAGGAACCTTGGTGATTATCTTGCACATCACTTGCAGCTGTGTCGAGGTTGTTAAGGGTGATATCTACGCCTGGCTCAATACACCTGCCAAACCTTCAAAATAACTGAGGAGGAAAGGGCATCTCTTTATACTTGACCATTAATCCTTCTAGTGCCCCCCAGCTCAGCCTCAGCGATAATCATTTAGGGCTGATGATGTCAAAGCACCTTTAAGAACCATGATTCCCTCGCACGATAGCTCGGAAGGATTATTAGAACCCCACGATAATTGGTCGACCATTATAGAAAAGATTTATGGTTAAACTCAACGTTTCCGATTCGGCGACCAATATTGGATTGATGTTGAATTGATATTGAATTAATATTGGATAAATCGATAGATGTGTTTCAAACCCCAACCAAACTAGTAGATAACACGATAAAAACCGTCCGTTGTAATCACGTTACAAGCAAAACCCTCACGTTTCCATAAATATCCTTAAATAAAAAATATTCCGATCCACTTGAAAACTTTGTTTGTGAAGGGATATATGAGGAAGTCGAGGTTCCTGAGCTTTGGTTGGTTACTGGAAGCGCCTATAAATGTTGCACCACCAATCATTGTCGCTGTCACAGTACATGTTGGCGCTAACAAGGTTTCTTCCCCGCGTACAAAACAATCGGATGAATCGAATTCGTCGAATTATAGTGGTAAGGCAAGCCGAAATCTATTTCCAGATAACGAGCACGGTCGCAGAATGTGATTGTCTCTGGGATCTTTATTTTGGGCTGCATACATCGGGGATTTATGGTGTTGTTGAAAATTGATTGTTGATGTATATAGGTGTAGTATCGTGCTCTTCCTTTATGGATTGTAACATTTGTGCTTCTGGTGAATTGTATAAAAATTCGAAATTGTGGTATTGCGGAATCGTTCCTCGTCATGTCAGATAAACCAGTCAGTATGGGTCTACAATTATTTCCACCTCCACCATCAAAAAAGAAAACTTGGAGAAGTAACAGCGATGAGCGCAATGTTTCCACATCCACATCCGTGTCCGATCCCGATCCAGCTCATCGATCGCAATCGCTCGATATGTTCGTTGATGGACGCCAGTCACCATTCGGTAGTCGCCAAACTCCACAAGATAGCAGAGCAGCGCTCATGAACGTGCCCCCTCCAGCCGTGCTTGCATCGGGTCGTCCAAGATCTCACACTTCTTTTTCGGAAGCACCTACACTTGTGAGAAGCAACAGTAATTCATCCAAATCTAGTCAACACCATCATCGAGAAGAGCCAGTAATGCGATCCATTTTTCCAAGATATAATCCCGAAGTCCCATTAGAATACCAGCAGTATTATCCGACACAGCAAAGTCCACGACACATTCCACAAAACGCAATAAGTAGACAGCCATACTCTCCAGGAATCAACGAGGTGAGCCCCGGAATGGGCAGTCCAATGTCGTTAGGCCCTCAATCTCCGGGATTGGTTGGACGAGGACTTCAAGACGAGACATGGCCAGAACCATCGAGCTCCGCCGACTTGAAGGAGTTATGGAAAGTGAGCAATGGATGGAAAGCATCAGCATCTGAGGGTCAAAAGTTCATCATGAAAATGAACAGTGCAGTAGAAGAGCCTATACACACTCTTTCCTCCGCTACCCAGCCATTTTATACACTACGTCTTGATCCCACTTCAACTTCAGCTCAGGTAACAATGACAAGGCAAAATCCAGCCAAGCCACCGAAAAAATCGCAATCCCCAAGAACTGGTGTATTTCCAAAAGGTGATTCTCAGATGGAAGTGTTGATCACAACTCTTGAGGAGTATTCGCGGCGATTGCCACCAAACGATGGTCTCGTAGCTCTCCTTTATCCCCATGCTGCCTCGAGTATGGCAGTCGATCTGGCTGGACGTTCAAACGTTGCAGACAGTGCTTTAGTATTGGCAGCAGCCGAGCGCGAATGCGGGCGATTGTTGTGGGACGATGATACAAAGAAATTCTATCTCAGGCACCCTGCAGTCAATACCCCATTTCTAATAGCGATAAATTCATCGCCGGCATGGTCCAGAGTCGAATACACGCTTGAGCATCCAGAACTACCACATAATCTTGTGCGTTTGGTGAGAGATGGTAGTGGAACAGGATTCTTAGAAATCGATACAGGGGTAGCGGCTAGAATAGACGCGTTCTATATCGTGGATGTAGCAATTGCCGCTATTATGCTGGCTGCAATGGATGAGGAAAAGAGGATGCATATTGAGAGGTTCGAGGCACCTCCGGCCGCACCAGTACAACCTGATACACCAAGATCAAAAAGGAAATCCTTCTTGCGAGGGGATCAAATGGAACTGGACATAGAGAGTCAAAAGAGTCCAAACTTTAAGATGGTCCCGACCAAGGAAAAGGATAAAAACAAAGAAAAGGTGCCAGGGTTCTGTGGATTGCTCTGGATGATGGTGAAGGCCATTGCTTGGATCTTGAAAATGACAGTGAAAGCAACAGCAGCTATTATAATTGGCCTCAGCAAATGTTTGACCAAGAAGAAATGATAGCGTTTGGACAAAAGGGTACACATGGCGTTTTTGACATTTTATCACGACTGGTAATGATTTGGGTTCGGTTATGAACATAATTTCCTTCCTTGGGCTATCCCCGGGGTATCTTATTATTATCGCAGGTCGATGAAGGGGTCGCACCCAGTATGATTCTCTTTGGCCATTATGGTTTCAGCATGCAGCCTTCGACATGACTGAAGGCCAGTTAAACAATTTTATCTCTTCCTTTCTCGTGCCTTGAACTTGACTCCATTCTTGTTAACACCACCGATCGTTAAAGATTTGGCCATTTTCGCTCGTTGTAAATCCAAAGCCACTTCTGCATCGGTCAGGGCTTTAAGCCGTTGGCGTGCAATCGATAATTTGACTTCCAATTTATCCGCCTCCTTTTCCCGAAGTTTACGTAGATTTCTGGTTGCCATGTCCTCCTTTGTATCCTCATCTTTCTTTGCGTCATCGGATCTATCATCCTCAAAATCAAAATCAAAATCCATGTCCATATCCATATCCATGTCTGAATCATCCTCTCCCGCCTTCTCTCTCTGTTCTTCCTCATCTTCCACAAATACAACTTTCTTTCCACGTGCTTTGATACCCACGGCTCTCTTTTCTAATTGTTCGACTTCTTTCGATGCCTTATTTCTCTCCGTCCGTACATAGCCCAGATCTTGTGTCTTGAACAATCGCACAGCATCCTGATTTAAAACTTGATTGCCTCGATCTCCGTTTACGGTTCCCGTATATCTTTTGCCGGTTTTCACAGGGCCCTTCTTGCCCACCATCCCAAAGTAAAACTCATCGGGATTCTTCTCGAGCACTTTTTGCTTAAGTGCCTTAAGCTTTGCTTTCTTCTTGTTGAAATCTTTCGCTCTGGCAGAGTAATCCTACAGAGTTAATTAGTATTTTGCAGTATATCACAGGTCATACACTCGATAAAATTCATACCTTATGCTTTTCGAGAAGTCCCCATTTCTTGCGCTCTTCGGGTTGCGATCTCTCTTTATAGGTGCGCCCATCGCGGACTGATTTACTCGCTTTATCCATCTTCTAAACAATGTGCGAATTCAGTCAAGAATGAATTTTGTGGCTTTAAATTAATCTGTCGTATGAATGGGTGAAAAAGTATGAGCTTTTTGATGTTTTCTTAGATGCGGGATTGTGAAAGTAAGAAAGTTTGAATTCCGATAGACAAAATTTCGACAAGGGTTGACCATTTGCGCTAAGATAAACTAGTTCAACTTGGGAAACTACCTCAGAACATTCGATTTTCTTCAAATTGCGTTGTGAGATATCATTGTCGTACATCTTCGATTCGGATTTCTTTTCAATTGTTTTCATATGGCAGCTACGACTTCACAAAAGGAGGAGGTAGAAAAGGCTCCCAGGCTACCCATGCCATCGCGGAATCCTCTACCATTATCCGCAGCACAAGAAGCCCAAGTCCAAGAAGTTTATCATACTAGAGTACGAAGTTATTGTGCGGCAGAAATTAAGGGTATGCATTCTCATAAATATGTCTAAGAAGTAGTTTGCTGATAATTAGCATTTAGTATTCGCGGAATGTGCCCTTGGAAGAACCTTTACTGCCCCATTCAAATGCAGAGAACAAAATCGAGCGATGAACAATTGCATGATATCGCATGCCACACAATCAGAAAAGGATGCAGCTAGAGAAGAGTGGTTTTCACTAAGATTACAAAGACAGCGGGACCGTGAAGCAAAGGAGGCGAGGAGGAAGGAACAGGAGAAATTTCATAGGGAATGGTGGGGTTTACCAACCGAAGACAGAGAGGGCGAGAAAGGCAAAGAATTAATGAGGAATGCTGAGAGAGTCGGTGGATTTCCAAAGAGGGATGAAGGACAATTGAGCAAAGACCGGCATAGGTGACCGCGTTTTCCACCGGTAATCTGGGTAGCACAGGCGTTGGGGTTCTTTGCAGCATTTTCGACTAGCGTATGGAACGCTTGACTGGGAATTTCATGTACGACTATACTGATATTACATCAAATCGCATTTCTGGAACGGACGAAGAATTTGAACCGGACTTTTTTTGTTTGAACCATCCGATGTCAGTGGCTATAATTGCCACTTCTATTGAACATTTGCAGGCAAGTGCCATTGTCTTTTGACCGATTTTTCTCTGGTTGTCGAAGCTCATCTCAGAAGAACAACGCTCTTGTCGTATTGATGCTCTGATAGCGTACATTATATACTTCATTGATCCATTCCTGTACTTCTAGTGATTTTCACCGTCAGTCAATGCCGAGACGATGCATGCTAGCTACATGAAGTGAAGCAACTCCTAATTTATAGCTACCTGGAAGTTGCTCTCGGTTTGTTCATCGTTGATACGTTCTTTGCTCGGTCTCTCTGACGCCGAACATAATCATGTTCCGACTCACTTTCTTTCAGGCTCCATGGAACCATCTCACCCCAGCAGATCTGCATTCGAAGATGATATTCGACTGAAGTTTCCAGGGTCTGGGGGCTCTACATGTTGCATTTCAATACTGTACCCATCGGTTACTTTTTCGGGGACTTTGCCGTTGCCTAGGGCAACTTGTATTGTCATCATTCAAACCACTTTCCTATACTTGTTATTGTGTCTGCCTAGTCTCCCTCCTTGAAACCAACGAGCCAAGTCTCTTGTTACAAGTTTGAAACGATTTTAACACACCAATCGTTCACTGCGACAAAGAAAAGTTTTCGAAAAACTCACCCTTTAAGATGCTAAGTCATCATGACAATTGAAGGCAGCATCATCCAAAACCCATCTTTTCTATCATAACATGGCGCTATGCTATTCCTGAACAGTCTGGGAATACCTACTAATATTTTCTACTTTAGATCCAACTAGGATCATAACGCTATTATCATCGAGCATCAATAAGATGGGCGATACCACTACGATGTCAATGGTACCCACGATTTCGACAGCGACACCCGCTTCTGATCCCTCCACCACACCCTCCAATATTCCTGACGAACCCCCTCTTCGACTCCCCGAAACAATTGGTGCCGTCATCGAGGTCCGCACTTCTCCAAAAGGTGGCCTGGGTATATTCGCCCTCTGTACCATACCAACCAACGTCCTCCTCCTAAGCGAACAACCTCTTGTTATTCTCACCGACACAGGAACGCGTACTGATCCCCTTGACGATCTCGTATCCGGATTATCTCCTTCTCGCAAATCTGCATTCCTGTCCCTACATGCTTATCAAGCAAATCCTCGAGAATCCAGGAATAGAAGCATTTTATATAGTAATGGATTTGGAGTGGGTAAAGTTGAAAACCTGTCAACGGGCATTTTCGAAACGGCTAGTAGGTTTAATCATGCCTGTACACCGAGTGCAGAATATAGATGGGAGGTGGATGTGGATGGGGTAGGAAGAATGAAATACTTTAGCAGGAGAGTTATTGAGGCGGGAGAGGAAATTACTGTGGATTATGGACATGGTGTTATGGGATTGAAGAGGTTTTACGGGTTTGAGTGTGATTGTGGGAAATGTAGAGGGGTGGAGACACGGGGTGGGGAAGGAATGGCGGAAGGGAAAGATGTGGAAATTTTGGGGGAGGTAGAACCCGAAGGGGTTGTGCAGTCAGGCTGAAGGGTGTAGGATTGAAAGTGGCAAAATCTGGGATGGATTCGGGCACTCGAGACTACTTTTGAGACAAACTCTTTGGGAATCTGAAAGTTTGCTGGAAAGTAAGAAATCCGACCGACACATTACGATATTTCCTTGAAGAATTTGTTTCAAAGACTGCGAGGAAATCAATGCATCAAGAGTTTTAACAAGCCCCTTAAGACATCACGCTTCTTTAGTATACCACACATTGACATAAAATTTACCTGGTGTTGTATTACCATATAATTGCGAAGCCACTTAAATATTCAAGAAGATTTTGAAAGGATTTGGGGATCACAAGCGATTTCCTCATCACATCTTTACTTCGCCTCCCAAGTATACGACTGTAGGATAGTACATGCAATGCATACCATAATGCACAATCACTGTGTCTCGTTTCTGAGCTTTACGATGATATATCCGGGAGATTGACAATACTTGAAAATCGACACATGTTTGAGGTGTCGGAAGAGCTAGGAACAGTTGAAAAAGATTTGAAAACTATAAACATTTGGAAAACTAATTATGTACAACAATTATCCCACAACAATTATCAAACCCTCATATATCATATATCGTACATCGTACCACTTCGTCGCTGAAAGACAAGGTAATACACACATTATACAATATGCAACATGCCACCTCATCCAACCCCCAACATTCCATCTAGGGAATGAAAGCAGCAACATCCTGTGCGATGATATCACCTAGACCAGTCAACACCAATTGGCGTTTTCCATTTTGTCCCTTTCCAAAATCTGACTCGGTACCGGTGGCTGCACCTTTGATGATTCCTGGTAGACCCGTTGGGAGAAAGCTTTTGAAGACTTCGGTGACATCCTAGGAGGGAATTAGTGAGGTATTAACAAGGGGTCAAATAGAATGAAGACTGGAGGAATTAGAAACCTACTTTGTTAAGTCCCGTGACTGTTTGCTCTGGAATTACATCGGCCGCGTCGGATTGGCGACGCACCTGATGGGTGGATGTGTTAGTTGTGGTTTTTATTCCTTGCTATCTATGTGAAGTTGATAGTAGGATCGACATTAACGCCGCCATTATTGGAAAAGATTTGATTTTCATTGCCGAATGTGTTGCCATTTCTAGAGAATGAATTAATGAACAGTCTGAATATAAATGGTTATAGAAGAAGCTTACCCATTATTTGAACCTGATCCATTACCATTACCATTTCCATTCCCCGAATTGGAAGAACCAGCAGTATTAGAAACACCATTACCACCCAAAGTGTCTGTAACTGTGCCAACAGCATTCGCGGCATCTCCAGATTATGATAGAGAATTGGTAATGGGATCGATGGCAGCAACCCACACACCATTGACATATGATGATAGAGTAGGGGTTTTTGATTTCCTTACCTTGTTGAGGATGCTGAATCCTGAGTTTCCTGACCCGATGGCATTCTTGTTTCCGAAAATGTTGCCGTTGCCATCCGAACTTCCGCTGTCATCTCCATTTCCGTTTCCATTGCCCCAGTTCTCGTTTCCGGCGCTGTTGAAGTCAGTGTGAGCACTTTGAGACGGGAGGAAAATTGTGTTCAATAATCGGGACTGGCAGGCTGCTCGAGATACATTCGATATTCAAAGATCACTGAATCTTAGACTGAAGTCTGGGATCCTAAACACTCTAGAGAGAAGGGGTACTCACGAGTTGCCATTGCCATTCCCATTCAAGTTGCTCAAGGCACTGCCCAAGACATTTGAACCAGATCCACGCTTCAAGATGCTTATTCCTGAGTTATCACTCCCAATAGCATTCCCGTTGCCGAATGTATTACCATTCCCATCCCATGATCCTGATCCAACACCATTCTATGTGTCTGATTAGCTCTGTTACTCAGAAAGTGCAAGGAGACATACACCGTTGCCATTGTGAGCATTGTCATTTCCAACAGCATTTCCCCCACCATTTGAATTCAAGTTTCCAAAAGCGCTGCCCAGAATGTTTGAGCCATAGCCGCGCTTCAAGATGTCGATGCCGGAGTTTCCGCTACCAATAGCATTTTCGTTTCCAAAAACGTTCCCGTTTCCATTGTTCGATCCTGATCCATCACCGTTCTACATATCATTAGCTGAAGGCCTCGAGAATTTTTAAGGAATGCGTACATCATTCCCGTTACCCTCATTTCCATTGCCAACAGAATTGCCCACGCCGTTCCAATTCAAGTTGCCAAAGGCTGAGCCAAGACTTGAGAATTTAGGAGATGGTATGGGAGCAGAAAGAACAGAAGTTGTGAGGGCAAAAATCGTCAAAATGTTCTTAGTATGCATAGTGAAAATTGCTATGATAGATGCTTTGTGTTGATTGAAGATCGTGCAATGGACAGTATTTAAGGCAGTATTGAGCAACGTGTAATGAAGTAGGATGTAATGAAGAAATTGATGATACCTAGATGAAGAGCAGATTCATATTTATATGCAAAATTTCAATCTATATCCTGTACACATACTGAAAATGGAGTGAATATCTAAACTACGACTGGCGTTCTAGACTTGCAGATCTTTGAGCGCGTCACGAGGACCAATGTTCGGTGGGAGGAGGCATTCATCCCATCTGAGGATTGCCGAAAGGTGCTTCAGGAAGGGCTCAACCAAGTTATTGACTAGAGACCATATCAATGATGCTCAATGTATGTGGTGGTGATTAGGATCATTAAAGAGGTGTATTGAGGGATGATCGGATTTACAGGTAAAGATCTGAGCTACACCCTGCGGCTTACAGCGTGGCTTCGTATGTTAAAGGCTAAAAAGCTAGCGTCGGAGATATACAAGCATAAAATGTAAATTAGACTTTGATTCTCATTTGATGTACAGGAAAGCCACATTCGTCAGATTAGGAAGTATAAAGTGGGTAGCCTGCTCCGATGAGGAAAACGAACAGACGCTTAAGGTTAGCGAGAACCCCCACAGTCTAAACAATCTAAGATTGTATTGTTTTTAATCCCCGCGGAAGAAATTCCCCTAGACCTTTCATCTTTGGAGTTTGTCAATTTATCCCATCAAACTAAGTATCTCGTCATCAGTGTCAAAGCAGTGATTGGGTTGTACACTATTGGAAGAGCAAAGACGCAGGGTTTCCGGCAGTCTGGACTATAATCCGAGAATCGAAAGCCTTCAATTTCCGAATTCTGATAAACTATTAAATTAAAATAGTTTGAGATACTGGATTCAGGAGCTCGCAGCCAGTCTACTGATCTAAACTATTAGATACTCTGCAACGAGATGATTTGAAATGAATTGTGAAAGAAGAAGAATGAGCCGAGGGAGCTAGGCTTTTCAATAGCCTCGAATGTCTTCTATAAACAGGTGTGATAGGTGTAGCGGAGCATTGTAAGTGCCATCAAAAAGATACTTGTATCTACTGGAACTTGGAACCAAAGATGGAGATGGACGGATGGCAGCGAGCCGAAACATCATTCGATTCCGCAGCGGCAGTTCTTCGTAGTTGAGAGATTTGCCACAATCTGGTATTCTATTACTGCCTTGAAAATTTGGGTTTCCATAAACAGTTCAAACAAACCTAATAGATGTCATTTTGACAGGCATTGCATGTGTTTATGAGTTCTCTTGCGATTGATTGAAATTCACAGTCGCTTGATATCAAGGTAGAGTGATGATTAGGCTAAGCCAGGAGACGTTAGCTTTTGAGGTTATTATATGGGGACACTAGCATGGACCTCGGAAGTATACAATATTTGAACCCTCTCGAGCCTCTCTCCTCTCTCCTCACCTCAATAAATTAAGTTTCAACCACCATCTTACTAAAAGCTACCTACTAGTTATCTACCTAGCTGGGTGATTTACGCCTCTTATCCTGTGATCTTCATTATATGGAGATTTCTACCTTCGTACCCTGCATACATCACCGGAAGTATCTCCATTGAGGTTAAACCCAATAACATTGGTGTGCAGTGTGCCATCCCTTTCCTCGCCGGATGGGCAACAAAAAAACAAAAAGTTCTTTGAAAATCACAATTTCACGGTTTCATACAGTGATAATAAAAAACTGGATGGATCTACTTCCATCTAACCGTCATTTCAGGTTGAATATACTTGACCTGAAACTCGTAGCCATTGGATTCCATTTGGCCTCCGAAATCGATGTTAAACACGTTCGCAAACAAATTCTTGTCAATTTGATTTGGTAGACTGACAAATCGAAACTTCTGATTGTAAGAAACAGTTCAGTCATTTGGAAAGATGCTTCCGCACCAAGAATTGGTTTAGATCATCCGCACTGCACTACTTTACTGTCTTTTCAGCTGCCTTTCGAAACTTACTCAATATTGAAATGTTCGATCCCAGGCGCTTGGCACCATATTTTGGGCGCCACCTAGCAATACGGTTACATGCCTTATCCTAAGTATCCCTTTCCTTGTGGTGATCGTCCAAATAGTCATTCGACGTCAGCGGTACTAATTTGCCAGCCGTGGGTTGTTGTGGCTCTGTAGCGCAGGTCACCAGTCTTATTTTCCAAGAGATCAGCATCAAAATGGAGCTTTAGACTACCTTTACATGTGCCAATCTTTTGTGAACATCGATTCTCAGCAAAGATTGCGATGAATTCAACTTTCGTCCCTGTTCAATCAGGCAAGAAAGAGCAAATCAGCCGATTCAGAAATGACGGCCTGGTTCTCGGAGCTAAAGACTTTTTGTTGTGCCGTTGACTCTTGGAGATATTCCAATATTCCAATATGGATATATAAGTATCATGGTTTCCTTTCCCCTTTTTTAAACAGTCTCATATTCACAATAATTTCCATCTTTCATCAATCCATTCACGTCCTATCCAGTTCATCAAATCAAAAGTCATAGACCAAAACATAAATATACAATCATGAAAGTAACAATAATTGTTGCGCTATTGGCATTAACTGCGAGTGAAGTCGCTGCGTACCCTCGATTGGCTGCAGAACATGCCGAAAGACTCGCAAAATCTCAACTTGGCAAGCGAAGTACAGCTACTCGTGACCAACTTCAAAAGAGAGTCAGTTTTGATGCTGCGTCGCAGTACGTTAGCACGACAGGAGAGCATGCCTTTGTACCACCAAATTTCGGCGCAGGAGATGTTCGAGGACCTTGTCCAGGATTGAATGCCGCCGCAAATCATGGATACATCCCCCACAGCGGAGTCGGCACTATAGGCGACTTTATCGATGGTACCAATAGGGCATATGGCATGTCATTAGACCTTGGAACATTTCTTGCTGTTTTTGGCGCCGTGTTCGATGGCAACTTGCTATGTATGTTTGAATGCTTCCTTTCGTGTAATGATACTGACATCTCATAGCTTGGTCAATTGGTGGACCAACACCTAAAGTTGGCCTTCCCCTGGGCAATCTTTTGGGGCTGACTGGAACTCCTCGAGGCATTTCTGGCTCCCACAACAAGTACGAATCTGATACCTCTCCAACTCGCCCGGATCTGTGGCTAGCTGGACAATCCTATAATCTTGAAATCCCACTGTTCCAGAAGTACTACGATGCTTTGGTCGAGGGTGTTGGTGCCGATGAACAATATCAGAATCTTCTTGACTTCAGAATCGACCGCTTCAATAACTCTATTACAACAAACCCTTACTTCTTCTCTTCGCCCTTTGCAGGTGTGCTTGTTTCTCCTGCCGGCTATAATTTCCCAGTCCGAATGATGTCCAACAAATCTGCAGAATTTCCGGAGGGCTCATTGACTAAGAAAGATTTAATGTCCTTCTTTGCCATCACAGGCGAGTCTGGCAACTTTCAATATAAAGTCGGCAATGAACGTATTCCAGACAATTGGTACAAGAGAGCTATCGGCGATGAGTATACCATCGCTGGTTTCCTTGTTGATGTTGTCGATTATGCTCTGCAATACCCACCTCTTCTTGATATTGGTGGAAATATGGGAACGCCCAATACTTTTGCACCTGTCAATCTTGGATCTTTGACCAAGGGTGTGTTTCAAACTGGATCCTTACTTGAGGGAAACAACTTGGAATGTTTCGTTTTTCAAGTCGCACAAGCAGCAATCCCAGATATTGCTGCCGGTGCCATTGGGAATCTTGCAAATACCATAAAGCCATTTACTGATGTTGTTACTCAACGTCTTGGTGGCTTGGGCTGCCCGCAGTTACAAGGCATTGATCAAAGTCAATTCTCCAAATTCCCAGGATACACCAATTGCAAGAATGGATGTACGAAGTATTAGGCGGATTTGAGAGCAAGGGCTGTATGATAGAAGGGAAACATTCTAATGTTAACGATTTATGATTGCGTCGAAGATTATAGCGAACTCTGGAGCAGGAATTATTGACTTCTTTGTATTATAATTTGTATAAATTAATGTAAATTATTAACTGAAATGTACCTATTTTGGTTTGGGACTTGTTTTTCCCAAGAATATACTATTTCAGTGTCAAATTTGTTCGGGAATATGGTAAAATACTCGTGTAGCAAGCTAATCGTATAAGCTTGGCTAGTGTCCTTTGAAGCACTGGTGAAGCTTCAATGGATGGTGATCTTATTACCTCGTGAAAGAATTCGAAGATCACGGCACGTCTCTTTTATACAAGTCAACGGTTTGGCCTGATCTTCATCGAACTACAAAACCGGCGCTGAAATCAATTCACGTATCAATATCACGCTTAATCTTGCTGATCGCGCCTGCTTGTCAGCCTTGTTGATCTCCATAAAACGAGGCTGAGATCCCCTCATCCTGCACCTCGAACTTCTGTGATTCTTCACTTCTCAACACCAGCATTATGAATTTGTCACTAACGGATCCTTTTGTTCTTGCACAAGATTATCCTGAATCGTCCACTCTCACTCTTCGCAGTGGCCATGCTTCCTGCGTGCGCTTCAATCGTAAAGGCGACTTTCTTGCCGCAGGGCGCACTGATGGCACAGTCGTGATTTTTGATGTTGAGACCAACGGCATAGCACGGAAGCTCAAGGGACATACACGACAAGTGCAATCGCTAAGTTGGTCGCGCGATGGCAGATTTCTACTCACATCGAGTCAGGATTGGACATGTATTATTTGGGATTTGATGGACGGGAGTATTCTGAGGACTGTACGATTTGAGGCACCGGTATACTTGGCAGAATTCCATCCTTGGACACAGTGAGTCTAAAATATTAGTTTTATTTTACCTTTAGGACGGTGGCTGATTCTTTCTGCGTATGCTAGTTTGAAGATATTGGTCTCATTGTTCGAAGATCCGCCCCTACTGGTAGATCTTACGAACCTCCAAGTAGTGAAATACATTTTACCTTCTACTATTAAAAAACGAA